GACTACCTTTCGAGATCGGCCAGTGGAAAGAGTGGAAGATCAACAACAAGAAAAATCGCGACAGGATCTGCCGATCGACCTAACTCAACGAGTAACCGAGTGGTAGCGCCAAACCAAGACGGTCTCCTACCAACCTGGACCTTCCTACAAGATAGTCCAGCCAGTTTCTTTTAATCGGCTTCATCAAGCGGCCGGTGGCATATCTTTGTAGCCATTGTCGATCCTTTTCGCGATTTTCCTACGGAAATTCCCAGTCTGCCTCGGAGGATACTGCGGGAACCGGTACTCAACGGACTCACAAAACCGGTACCGTACCTCGAGTGTTCTGTCCCGAAAGCGCGCCGACCAAGAATGATCCAGCCTCACATTTTCCTCGATTCCGAACTCAAAGATACGTGCTCCGTACGAAAGATACCCGATTGGTAGGAAGGTAGTCGTTGTGTCTTGTAGATCACCCTTGACTTGGTGGGTAGGCAAGGTACTTCCACTTGAATCGGTCGCGATTCCAGTTTTCGGTCGTCGACTCTGTCGGCAGGTCTTTCGTCCGTGGATTCCACTCTTCCACTCTTCCTCCAAGATTTCCACACGTACCAGTAGCCACTTCTTGTGTGCTTGCGACAAGTTAATCCTATGAATTCCAGGTAGGAACTCAGCTGGTAGGTGCACAAGAGCTGGGATGGAGAGCTCTGTTGGTGGAGATCTCCTTCCACTGGCGCTGGAAGGGCCAGCCACCAGGCTGGCAGCCAATGCTATTCAATCACTGTGGAAGCAATGATTGAACAGTCTAATTGCTCAATACCCTGGCACTGGCCATACAGGATCCTGTCAACTGCAGAGCTCTACTTGTGCTTGTGGGTCTGTCTTCTCAGCTTCAACTAATTCTTCATTACTTCTTTTAAACTATTAATTTAAAACAAAACTCTGATTTTGCGTGAAAATCCATCATCCAGCCATGCAGGATACAGATCCATGCATCTCTTTTGGCTGGTATATACCAAGCTATCTTTCTAGATAGGTCATGGCTGAGGAGCTGCATCATCCTTCCTTGCAGAGGAACTCTATGTCCTCTACAGCTGTTCCTATCTTGTCTGATGGTGACACAGCTCATTGTACTGAAAGAGTGTACAGATGCAGCAGCGATCTTTCCACCAGACTGAGCCAGCACAGCTGCGCCGCACCCATAATATGGCTCCTATGGCATAATCTCATCGGTTAGGACCGCGCCTCAACCTTGAAGACCAGCTAAAGAGCCCACATGGCTGCTCCAATTTCTTCTGCTGCGCACTACCAGGTAGCTATCATAGTACCAGTGGTTGCCAGCAAGCTCGCACCGACAACCGCACCATGGAAACAGGCGCCGATGCTCACATGGGAGTCGTGAGAGACCCTCCACCAGTGGCTATGGAGGGAAAATGCTGTTTAGCCCGATCACTCTAATTTGGACATTTGCTAAACTTGAGATTGCATATAAGGGGAGGTCGTCTGAACAATGGTCCAATTCATCTACATAGTGTGATTGGTGAACGAATGGAAAAACAAGGCTAGAAGCAGTATTTCCTACCAGCCATTTGGATTCCTGCCCAAAGTGCTTCTTCGTGTAGGCATTGAATTGCACATTGGGAAATCAGGGAGGCCCTCTGCCAGCAAGGGTTGCAGACAGTACGGTATCCTCCATCTCATCCCCTACTATACCGGTATGTTCATGTATCAGTGAATCTCTCGCCCGCCACCATTCCTTGACTGGCCAGTTGCCACAAATTGATTGAAGATTTGATCATTAGTCTTTTAGATACCAAAACAGTTGCCAGTGTCCCAGCATGGTTCACTACTGTAGCGACTTCAAAGAATTTCAAACAAAGTCACAGGACCATCTTTAATGGTTAGCATGTCCAATGTTTCTAGGTACTTGGCATGGCGTGCTTTTGCCCATTCCAAGACATTTGTGTTGGGGATTGTTTCCTTTGTCTGCATGTGTTTCTCCAGCTCTGGCAAACGAGTCGAAAACTTGATTCTTTCCGCAATCTTCTTGGGAAGAATTGCCTTACAATCACGGGCAGCATACTTAAAAAAGGAGGGACTTCCGAATAGATCTTTCGAATTCGATGTGGATGCATGCCCTTCACATTTTCTTGGGACCTGGCTGTCATCCGAATGTAGCGTACAGCAGCACTTGCACTTGCCTTACCATTGGATATTCCAACAATGCAGAACCCACGACGAGCTTCTTCCAAATCAACAGCACCCATGTTCATCCTGAACTGCTCTGCAGCCAAAAATGTGGTCATGCCCTCTTTGCTTTTGGACATATAATCAGTTGGTGCATAAATCTGATCATGACCCACCACAACTCTTCCATCTTTGTCATGTGTATACTTGGTGTAAAAGTATTTTGGACAGGCTTTGTACAAGTCCTCGAGTGCTGCCATGGGGTCGACAGTTTCAAGATTGTTGGCTTTTAACCATGAGTTCCTCTTTCTCAGTAATGACTTTGCTTTTTCAAGCCGCTTCTGGGGTGCCTTCTTGTCAGAGTCTGGAAAGGAATAGTGCACCACCAGAATATACTTGGCCAACTCAAATAAAGAACAAGCAGCCGGAGGCTGATGCCCTCAACTGTCAAAAAGAGATTTGATTGGTCAAATCATTTACCATGTTCAACTGGACACACTATTGATAGCAAGTCTCTTTAGCCAGCCAGTACGGGCACAGTGGTATCAGTACCCATGGGTCCAGAGTACTTGTCCAACAGAACACACAATATAAATCCCTATCCTTAACAAGGAAAATGTCCCTTATGTCTTTGGCAAAACCTCCACCGTGTTTATCTGGACACACTTGCGAGTCTGCATAGCCAGCCAGTACTGGTACCCATGCGTAGAAACTACTGTGCCAACAGACACACAAGATTAATCCCTATCCTTTACGAGTGACGAAAACAGCTGCAACAAACACACAAACACACACACACACACACACACACACACCACACACACACACACACACACACACACACACCACACACACACACACAAACATCACACATCTCACACAACACTCAACGTACACACACCTACACACACACACACCACACACACATCCAGCCCATCGAGGCATTGGATTTACGGTTTAGTTTAGCTTGGTTTCGGTCTATACCGTACCAGCTCCTACCAGCTCCTATGTGTCTATTTTCGAAATCACACACAAACAGGGTACCCTTGCTTTTCTCACAGCCTACCCGGCTTGTATCTTTTGCCATCCCCAGCTTGCTCCCATGATGAAGCAAACAGCGAAATTCCTAAGCTCAGAATTTGGAAATCAGCAGCAACGGTATACCCCATGGATAAACATCCAAATGGTAGATTCGTCGTAGATTAACTCTTAGTAGTGTCTACACACATCTCACACAACATCAACACATCTCACACAGCACTCAACGTACACACACCTACCACACACACACACATACACATACAGCGATAAAAGTGTGAAAGACCCTCAGTCCGTTGAGGGCAAAGAACAAGCAGCCGGAGGCTGATGCCCTCAACTGTCAAAAAGAGATTTGATTGGTCAAATCATTTACTGTGTTCAACTGGACACACTATTGATAGCAAGTCTCCATAGCCAGCCAGTACGGGCACAGTGGTATCGGTACCCATGGTCCAGAGTACTGTGTCCAACAGAACACACAATATAAATCCCTATCCTTAACAAGGAAAATGTCCCTTATGTCTTTGGCAAAACCTCCACCGTGTTTATCTGGACAACACACTAGCGAGTCTGCATAGCCAGCCAGTACTGGTACCCATGCGTAGAAACTACTGTGTCCAACAGAACACACAAGATTAATCCCTATCCTTAATGAGCGACGAAAACAGCTGCAACAAACACACAAACACACACACACACATACACATACAGCGATAAAAGTGTGAAAGACCCTCAGTCCGTTGAGGGCAATTGCTGTATGCAATGCCTTCTGTTTCACAGACTTTCTTCAGAGCAATAACAGCCACACGCTCGGAATCAGTCAAAGTGTAACGTGGGTCGGGCATTGTGGCTGTTGTGGAGGCAGATGTATAAGCCATGTTGCCAAGTGTAATATTGTATTGATTGGTTTCTTTGGATTGGATTTGAAGTTTGTGAGATGCTTCGAGGTGGTGGGTGATGCTGTCTTCTATCAGCAGTACCACCAGTGCCTTTCCTGGACGAGGTACATGTACTACGGTAGCTAGCTAGCTAGCTAGCTATTACAACCAGGTACTGGTACCACGTTTCAATTCCCAATTCAGCCGCTGAGCTTGCTGTGGCACGCGAATTCGATCCTGCTCAGCGTTCTGTTTACTGCGCTGGAGCCGCATTATGGTAGGTTGGTGGAACGTTAGCTGGATGAAATTGGCCACTCAGAGTAGCTACAAGCTCGGGCTGTCCAAGCCAGTTCCCGAGCGCTGGGAAACTCCAGCAATGTCATCAGAAATCTTACTATCTAGCTAGCGTTGTATCCATCCTCGCCGGAAAGAGCCCTGTAGCTTGCACACAATGGCCACGCTATGCGCTATGGTATGCAGCCTTCAGGAAGACAGTTTTGGCCAGGCCCGGGTACCGCAGCAAGCGGTTCGGTCACCTTCCCTGAGGCAAAAGAGCCAGCGTTCCCGCGACCACTGCCACCCGAGTCTATCTTCCCTTTCTTACGCTTCTGCGCACCAAAACAGTATACAGCAGGGGCTATTAGATATCCAACTAGCGATCAACCCTTCTGCTTTTCAAGAGCTCAGAGTGGCTTCGAATGCTACGGATCGGTAGGTCGCTAAGCCAAGCGCCGTTTTGTGCAAGCCGGTGTTAGGCTGGAGTCAACATGACACTTCAGGAGCAGCCAATCTTGATAACGGAGCGAACGACGTACCGGTAGGATGAGGGTCGAAAACGGCGTGAGAATGGATTTTGTTGTCCTTCAAAAACCACTTGGTCACCTAACTAACTGTCTCGACTCACTCCAATCTGAACAGGAGACGGTCGTTGTATTAATAGTATTCATTGACCTTGGCAGTACCGGTAGAGGTGCGACTCCATCCAAAATTCGTCCGATCGATCGAGCGTTCCTCCAAAACCCACTACGATCGCCCAGTTTACTCAATAGGTAGTTGCCGTCGTCGGTCAAGCTTCAAGTTTCTCGTGCAGTCTATTGGAATCCAATGGGAAAACGAATTCAGAGCTGAACCTTCGACATTTCTCTTGATAGCATAGCGATCAATCGTCCATTATGGCGGTGTACATGAGGAACTCAAGGCAGCCTTGTGCATCAGTACTGTAGAGAGTACGGGTGAAACTCTCGTTGGCCAACAACCAACAAGGAATGGCCAACCGATCACTACAAATTGATCGAAGATTCGATACGTTAGTCTTTTTAGATACCAAAATAAACACTACTCGTCCTTACAAGCAAAACAGTTGCCTTTGTGCGAACGTGTTCTCTGGGCACTCAGAAGCGTTGCAAACAAGAAAACACCATCACAATCAAAGGGACAGCCTCTCCAATGTTTCGAGGTACTTGGCCTGGCGTGCTTTTGCCCATTCCAAGACATTTGTATTGGGGATTGTTTCCTTGGTCTGCATATGATTCTCCAATGCAGGCAAGCTACTAAAAAGCAGGATTCTTTCCACAATCTTCTTTGGTAGAATGGCCATACAAGCACGGGCAGCATACATATACAAAGAAGGGACTTCGCAATAGATCTTTCGAATTCGATGTGGATGCATGCCCTTCACATTCTCTTTGGACTTGGTTGACATCCGAATGTAGCGAACAGCACCACTCGCAGATCCTTTTCCATCTAAAATTCCAACGATGCAGAACCCAAGACGAGCTTCTTCCAAATCAACAGCACCCATGTTCATCCTCAACTGCTCTGCAGCCAAAAAAGTGGTCATGTTCTCTTTGCTTTTGTACATGTAATCAGCCGGGGCGTGAACCTGATCATGACCCACCACAACTCTTCCATCTTTGTCGTGCGTATACTTGGTGTAAAAGAATTTTGGACAGGCTTTGTACAAATCCTCAAGTGCTGCCATGGGGTCGACGGTTTCAAGATCATTGGCCTTTAACCATGAGTTCCTCTTTCTCAGTAATGACTTTGCTTTTTCAAGCCGCTTCTGGGGTGCCTTCTCATCAGAGTCTGGAAAGGAAGACTGCACCACCAGAACATACTTGGCCAACTCAAATAGATTGCTGTATGCAATGCCTTCTGTTTCACAGACTTCCTTCAAAGCGATGACAGCCACACGCTCGGAATCAGTCAAGGTGTAGCGTGGATTGGCCATTGTGGTAGTTGTGGAGGCAGATGTACAAGCCATGGTGCAAGGAGAAATGGATGGGGTGGTTTCTTTGGGGTGGGGTGGAAAACTGTGAGGATTGAATTCCATTCGGGTGGAAATTGCGGTGCCGAAAGAAAGAGACTTCGTGAGCTTACCGTACAGGAGACTTGACTCTCGATTTATTGGTCTCCAAGAGCGAATCGAATCGAATCAGTTGTTCAATCCTGCTCAGCGCGCTTGCCAAATACATTCAGTACATTTACACCTTAGGTTTAAGATACGATGTACCTATCTTATTATCGCATCATGCCAAAGAGCTGTCTGCTAAAGATGTACCGTACGTACGGTACCGTACTGTACGCGTACGGTACATGTACATGCTCAGTGAGTTCTGTCCTTTCACAGCAAGGTCCGGAATTGATCTTCGAACCACCACTCAAGGACTTAGCTAGCTGCAATGGATGTAGATTGAACAACCATGCACAACCAACTGGTACTGGTACTAGCTAGCTAGCTAGCTAGCTAGTATGCATGTGTATCATACCGGTACATGTGTGCATGCATAATGTTTCCGTACTGTAGGACTTCAGTATGGCTATGATACTAGCTATAATAGCTAGCTACGGTAGTAACCAAACCAGTTCCATTGATCTCGCATGCGTCGTCATCGACTATCGAGTCTGGCATACGGTACCCAGCCAGTCCAGCCAGCAGGGTGACTTCAGCTGGCAAGGTTTCGGTCATTATTTGCTGAGCAAACTTCGAGTGCTAGTACTTGTGCAGGCCACCTTATGAATGATGATGTGAAAAGAGCAGTGATTGTGCATACATGTAGCCTTTACAGGGAGAATGTCGTGCAGGTTGGACCCAATAAGGACAGCCTTCAAAAGAGAGGTTTAGCCAGCCCTTGCAACACGGTTCAGCCCATTGGCTGGCTGAAAGAGTCGGCTTTCCCGCGACACATTCGGATTCGATTTGATTCGCTTTGGTGGTACTACGATCCGAATTGAGTCCATCTCACCTTTCTTCTGGGATCAAAAGACCATGGTAGGATTGCAGGCCATGGGAAGCATTGTCGTAATCTGCAGCACTGTCGGCAGTTCGCTGCACAAGAAAAATGGTTTTCTTCGTTCCAAACTTGCTGGATACCGGTAGCTAAAGGTAGCCTGAGGCGGAAGAACGGCGATTCAAGTCTGGCTCAAACATTCCCCTTCCTCTTTCTAGCTCAAAGAGTGGGTCTATCGCAAGACCAACCTCCACGACGTTCTGTGGAGACGACATCATGACAACACGAGCATCAACCTGGAAAGTTACATCCGAGAAAAGCCTCGATTTATATTTTCACAGCGTTGCAGGCTTACCGATATCCGGGTGCGGAACCCAAAGCCAGGGTTCTTGGTTTTGGCAGCCTTCGCCTTCTTCCCCAGTAGTAATCAATGAAGGAACGGTCTTTTTCAGTCCTGATGGTCTTCTGTTTGCTTCCATTCTCATAATCACAGCAATCAAAATAGCAATCAGGCGTCTTGGTAAAAAGGGATAGAACCGATAGCGATTTGAAGCCACACGAGGGCAGCAATCAGAATGCTGAAAATATCCATATCAAGCAGAAATCCCCATGGGGTGTTTGCTGCAGTAATCAGCTTGATCGTCCTGCTACAACTTCATCATGTGACTGCCTCCGTTATAGATTGTTACTTTGTCTATCAAGAAGTTATTGGGGGAACCGAAATACCTGGAGTTCCTACCGCTGTTCGAGAGAAAAACGTCCCTGACTGTCCTCCTGGGTTGTACGAAGAAGGAGTGTGGCCGCTGGATGGATGTGTGATGAATTGTCCCCTTAATGCTCGCTCCGATTGCCTTGCGTTTGGCTATGTCACGGAAGAAAAAGCTGTTTTGCACATGAGTTGTGCAGCGACGGTCAGTTCCACCAACCCTGATGGATCCAATGTGCAAAATTGCGAGGAAAATAGCAGATGGATTGAGCTCACCGTGAAACAACCATCAGGAGGCAATAATGAAACCGTGGTCGTCTCGGATTACCAGTGCGATACATGTGGCTTCATAGCCGATTGTATACCACCCTTTTTCGAGAATTACACTGGATCGCTGGCGGCGACAACTTCCGAAACAACGGCACCCGAGTCATCTGCCATTGGAATGGCGTGGAGAACGCCAGTAACTTTGATCATGGCATTTGTTACTTCTTGTGTCGCTTTATCATGAATGGCTCCCGGCTATATGCAAGACGGGGTGTCGTTGTGTTTCATCCTATGTAATCCATTTGGAGGTGGTACTCCACTAGACAAACCTATGTGTCCTTTACTTTTATTTTGTTGCATTGGAGAAACTTTGGCCAGCTCTGTTCCTCTGTGCTGAGTGTGACCATCATGGCATCTGTGTGGATATGTGGCCATTGTACGTGTGAGTGCGTGATACTACAGTACGGTAGGTGTCTGAAGTCAACTACTAAGCTAGTAGTGAATTGTTAGTTCTTTAAAGGTTAGCCAGAGTGAAATTCTAGCTAGCACTACTAGCCTTTGTCTCGTCTTTGTATTCTAGAAAATTATCGTCCCTTCTGAGGAAATTTTATTTTGGACGCAAGGAGGATGGAGAAAAGGGTTGAGGATCGATGCGAGAGAGACCTATTTGTTCTTCTTCTGGTTCTTGCCATTCTTCGTGGCCTTGTTGTTCTTGGGCGCTTGTTGCTGCTGTTTGGTTTTTGCCTTTTCCATTTCCTGTTTTTCCTGCCACTGTTTCTTGGTCATCTTTGGCTTCTTTCCCTTCTTTTTCTTGGGACCAAAGAAGAGCCATCCGAGAATGAATCGAATGACCAAAAAGGCAATGGTGCATTCAATGGCAAAGGCAGCAGGTTCCACGTTGGTATTCACAAGCTGGAGGTACTCGATAATGACGGGGGGAAAGTTCTCCATCTTGGCAAATTTGAGGGCCACCGAGCTGCTGGACTCGACGCCTTCCACGAGCTTTTCGTGAGCGAGTGCCATGTGCTCCACAGCCGTGGCTTTGGCAGCATCATAGTGTTGGTCCAGTTTGTGTTCCTTGACGGTCGGTTCCAGGTTGGCTTTGTAGAATTTGTTCCATTCCCGTTTGGCTTGCTTGATTTGTTTGTTGACTGGTCCCCGATAAGGAGCGTAGGTTTCTTCCCAGAATGCCTTGGTGTCTTTCCACGTCTTTTTCAGGAATGGGAGGGCATCCTTCTCGACAAAGCGACGGATGTGTGGGAAGACATCCTTTTCCAGCATTTTCCAAAACTTGATGGCTTCCTCCTTGACAAATCCGAGGTGTTCTCCGACAATATTGAGGAACTTGTTTACATTTTGCATAACGAAGGTCTTGAATTCTTCAATACGTTCATTGAGCAAATCGTAGTCAATGCTGATAATTGTTTTAGCCGCAATCATTTCGTCCAGAGTCTTTTTGGTTTCGCCGAGTTCTGTCTTTAACGATCTTTCTGATTTCTGGGTCTTCTGCAAATCAAGAGAACGTTTGCTGAGATCCTTTTCCAATTTACCCTTGGCAGCTTGTAAATTGGCCTTGTCCTGTTCCAACGCCTGCTTGTCTTGCTTGGCCGCATTCAACAACTCTTTGGTCGAACGGAGCTCGTTGTTGAGTTGTTGGTGACTCGATTCCAACTCGCGATGACCAGTTTTCACCTGTTCGAGATTGACCGTCAGCTCCGATTGCTGATTCTGGCATTGCGACAATTCCACTTTGGCTTGTTCCGCAAGTGCCGCCGCGGCTTGGCGTTCATTTTGAACCTCTTCAATTTTGGCTTTGCTCGTCTCCTCGCATAACGCCCATCGCTGTTCCGCCTGCTGCACGATAATGTCGCTGGAGCCACGAACTTGATCTACTTGGGATTGGTGATCAATCTTTGCCTGTTCCAATTGTCCCTGACAACGCTCCTCGGCTTCTCGTCCCGTATTGCGCAATTGCTCTTCCAATACGGCACGAACCTGATCCAGAGCCGACCAGTCATTGACACATTTGTCGTGTCGCTGCTGCAAGTCATCACACTGGCAGTGTTGTTCCTCTTGTCCCCAAACAACAGTGCCCGCCAAACAGAGAGCCAAAAGGATGCGAATGGTCTTCATCATCGTCATCATGGCGAAAAATAATTATAATCTTTCGGAAGAATTCGATTCTGGTTCGATACAATTAGAAAATGGATCACTTGTGGATAATGATTCAATTTCGTTGCTAGCAAGACACAATAAATAGAAATGTCTCTCTCAATACTCAGTCTCAAGGTAATTCTCTATCACTTGCTCCACCAACAAAAGCAGTCTTTTTGCTCTCACCAAGTTTAGATTCAGATGAATTGGCATTGGCGCGGTGGTTGCTGGGTTTGGATCTTGGTCTTTGTCCAAGAACCAAGAAGGCTCTCGTCGAAGACCAAGGGCAGAGAAGTATCGGCCGCACATTGATTCCCGATTGTGTGACCAGTCACGAATCCATGGGAACTCCAACATGTTAACACCTGGCATTTTTTTTGCCGTGCTGGCACGGTGGCCAAGCAGCTCTTCGTAGCAAGCGGAAGGGCCACAAACTGGCAAACTGGAGCTACCAGTAGCTAGCTAGCCAATAGGAAGCAGCCATGACAGGGCCTTTCCAAGTGCGCTTCTTGCTCCTGCTGCTGCATCACCATGAATGCAGAGTGCAGATCCGAATGGGCAGGCGGACATCGTACTGTCCACGCCGTTTTTCCCCTTTCTTCCGCTCTCGTGAGCCGGTACTGTACAAGAACAAGCACCATGCACCATCCGTGTGCTTGATACCTTGTACCTTGTAGCACTTTAGAAGTGAACCAGTGCTGCCCAATGTAGCTACGACTGCAGTGCATCAATGACGATTTTACCCTATCCTATTCAGAGGGGCCTCCAGTCCCTGTCACGCCCAACTCGCGAAAACATGGCAGCCTGGTCAGATCTCATCATCGTCCAAATTACTTGGTCTATTCTTTGCTACTCATATCTCATATGATCTACAGTAGTCTATGTATCTATTCTTCTACTCGGCTCGGGAGAGACCAACTGTGCTGTCGTTCTTCGTTTGCGCCGTCAGTTTCCATCACACCATTCGTCGGTCAAAACTGTTCAACGGCACATTGAAGAAGTAATCTTCTTCCTCGTCATTGGCATCATCTTCTCGCTCCTCCTCCTCGTTGCTCTCCTTCACCGTTTCGGGCTCGTAGTAGCGACGATACGGACTATTGGCTTGCTTGGCAATCGACAATCCTCGTGGATGCTGTCGTTGTTGAAGCTGCTGGGATCGGACTTGATCTTTAATGTCATTGATAAAAAACTCCTTGTCGTCGTCGAGAATGGAGACATCCTCGTCCGAACTATCGGTCGTGATCACCCACGGAACACTCTCCTCCTCTTGTTTCTCGTACAAAAAGACCGGCTTGGGACTCGGCGCGCCGCTCTTGAAGCAACTCAATGGGAGAATCTCGGCCAGTATATGAAGTGGGTTCTCTGCAAAGCAACGATTCTGTGCTACCGAGACCACGTTGCCACGAGTTTGTTGGTGTCGTCGTCTCGCGGTGTTTTCCCGTTCGGTTTGTTTTGCGTTGCGAAAGATGTCCATGACTGTATGAATCCGCCAAGCTCCTGGGATCGCTCCTGTAGTGTTTGATTTAAGTTCTTCTTGTTGTGTTTGTAAATGAGCAGAGAATGTGTATACCGGTACTTGAGGAGCGGCATCGTCGGAGGGAGCGATGTCGTTTCCGAAGCGTTTCGACGTGTGAGCCCTCATCAAACATCAGTCGAGTTTTGAGAAACACTGTCCCTATTGTATTGTTTGACTCCCGCGTACCTCTGCGGTACAGCGGGTGGTAGTCATCAGCAAACCTGCCTCCAACTTGTGGGAGGTACTGGTACAGGGTACAGATTGAATATCGCTCACTTATTAGTAAGGAGTGACTCAGGAGTCAGTGAGCCTCAGTCCAAAAGACATGAGAGATGAGATTGGAGCAACAAAGGTGGCTTGGAGGGCTCAGATGCGGAACAGCGGTAAGCAATGTTGCATATGTAGTTCTTTTGTGTCAATTTGAAAAGTTAGTGGCAGTTTCGAAGTTGCAACCGCGCAAATGTAACCCTCGAATGAATCCCACTGACTGTGCTTGGTATGTGCTTGAGTCGTATCACGGGGGAAGTCCACAGTTGCGAAACAACCAATGTTGTCAACTGCTTCTGAAGTATTCTCACAAACCTAGGCTGAGACGTTTCGCACTTTGATGTGCCAATCACGAGAATGCCGGAAGCCAGGCAGACACGTTACGTTTGATTGACGAAGAGCCGTCAGGAATTCAAAGCAATTTGGACTTCTTCCCAACTTTAATGAATGCATCAAGACTGATTGGTCCAAGTCGGTGTTGCGCTGTCGCGGTGCAAGCACAGCAGGGGCAGGTAAACTCCACAATGCCATGAAAGTAACTACAAGCTACCGGTATGCACAGTTGTCAAGACAAGCAGGAGGCCAGGAACGTTTTCCTCGCCGTGGAAAGTTTTCTTTTACCTACCGTATTCCAGTCGTGGATACTCAGGGACTCATCGGCTCTGAAGATTTTTGGACGAAAATTTCCCTCCGCGTAGATGTCTTGCATCCGATCTCGTCATGAGAGGGGAGTGTGGGCCTTTCATACTCGTGTGGAAGTGTTGGGGTCGAAACACACACCACACAGCTGCTGCAGGTAGCTAGCTAAACTCAAGCCACCTAGTTGTGAGAGGCTAAAGCTGGAGGGATCTCAATCATTTCGATTTTTTTCAACCAAGCCGCACATAATAAGCAGCGAGATTTTGGGTATCTTTGATCGAAACAACATTATTTGATTGAGCGACCGATCCAATGGCTCCTCGTCCCCAGGGCCGTGGACGGGGGCGTGCCGGCAATTCATCAGGAGGAAGGGGTGGTAGAGGTCGAGGAAGAGGAGGAAAACAAGGCAACAGCAGCAGAGGATCCCAACAAGAAGCTGGAGGGAAGATCTCATGCTGTTCCAATTGTCAGGCCTCCAATGATGTCCACGGTGTTCAGTTGTACGATGGAGATAGGTACTTGAGAGGATCAGGATCGGGACCTCTGAAGCTCAAGCTCTGTGCTTGTCGGTGAGTTCATGTGGAGTGGAAAGATCCACTTTCCCTTTTCTGTTTCTCAAACCACTGGATTCTGGATGCCAATTAATTGCAGGAGAGTTGCCTATTGCAGCAAATCCTGTGAGACTGCTCAATCTTTGGTACATAAGTGCAAGCCTAAGAAAAAGTCTTCCAATCCTGCTGCCAATCAATGGAGGAATAGGACTGTGACGCGTTCTCCCGTTATCGATGCAACCGGACCCAGCTTTTCAGAACACTTGGTAAGAGACATCTCAGACGAAGCCCACTCTAATGGCGGGGATTTGGGACTTCCAGCCTCGACTTTCGCTTTCAATTTGTCTGACAGTGAAGATGACGATAACGATTGGACCAAGTTCGCTGTTCCAGATGAGCCTCCGGACACAGCTAGCAAGTGTGCTCAGCTGCTGTTGGGCAAAAATGTATCTGAGGTGCATGACGTCCGTCGTTCAGGAACAACTAAAACCGATGCTCGAAAGGAAAGAATTCAAGAGGATGTTCCTGGGAGTCGTAGTCTGGTCAAACCTGGAGCAAAGCCAGAAGGTGCTGTGAAAACTGTAGACTCAGAGTCTACCAAGAGGGCCAATTCTGACCTCAGCGACCAAGCACCAACAGATATCAAACAAAACAGGACACCAAAGACGCCTCCGAAAAAAGATGCAGCCTCAAAAGCGGTCCCAAAAAAAAGCACAGAGTCTCCGGCCAAGTCAAAGAAATCCACCAAAGCATACGAACTATTGGGCAAGGCCCTGTCCCAACCAACAAAAACCCGCCAAGTTGTTTCGAACTGGCAGCCCAAACCAATCCCAGAAACAAGAAAGCTAGGCAGAACATCCTTGTGGGAAAAGGCCCCCAGTCGGGAGGATTACGCAAAGCACGTAGTCCTCCATCAAGAGATGGTGCTACACGTTGACCCTCGCGGCTGCTCAGAAAACGACTACAGCAAAGTTGCTCACTTGACAGGCGTGTACGAGGGTCAGATTTTGGATTCTGGAATTCCAATTTATTTGCAGAACGTTGAAAAGACAGAGATCCTGGCAAACAAGTATCAGTCTTGCAGTGCCCAGGCCCGGCGTTGTTTGAAGCAAGATTGGGGCATAACGATTGGGGAAGCGGTTCTTTCGGGACCCCCACTCGCTTTGACGTGGTATTACAATCGCCAGAACCGATTTTGTTGGACTGTGAGAGATTTGAGAGATTGCCTTAGTCCCACTCCAGGTGTTACTCTCTCGGAATTGACGAGTGTGGACCCCATTCGCGTTGGAGAGCTCGACTTTTGGACCAATCCAGAATCTCTTTATCGCCGCCATGAACAAGCCTTCACAACATGGTATACTCCGGGCGGGGTCCGAGTTCCGGTGGCAACGACGCCTCTGGTGGCATTCGAGCGTGCACTTGAAGTTGCCGATACACCCGCACTGACGTTGCGAGAAAGTATGGCCTTGGACTTTGAATTTTGGAGGAAGCCTCTCGTTTTGCACGCGGACTCTCGCAAGACTAGTGTGGCAAAGCTGGACTCGTTCTTGGGAATCTACGAGTTTGATGGAATGGTTATGGATGGATATCCGACGTGGAGATTGTGTCGGCAACGCAGTAATGAACTGGCAAAATCAATGACGAGGAGGAAAGGCGTTAAGGAAAGACTAGATGATCTTGCCATTTCATTGCGACAAGACAACGTGACCAATTCACCACCACCCCACCTGTATATGTTGCGTCATGTACTACATGTGGCATTGCCGGATGCTTTTGATCGTGACCCAGGCCGAGGCTTTACTTTGCGAAGCGCGACCGCTTCGCCTCATGAAGGGAGGCTACTGACGGAATCGGACGCGCTGTATCAGCTTGGGGAATCTGCCCTGGCAAAGTGGATTTTTAACACCGGGGACAAGTGGGTGACAGTGAAAGTAGCTGTGACAGCAGAAGACGTCTTCCAACGCGCAGTAGCTCTTGCCGATTTGGAGGAAGACATGATTGGGGGGAGTTCTGAACGACAGCGATCGGATCAAACAGAGGTAGACCAAGAGGAGGAGGGGGCTACAACAGGAGGGAAGAAGAAAAAGAAGAAAAAGAAGAAGAAAAAGAAGAGGAGCAGTGACACGCTGGACGAAGAAAAGTCCGCACCTTGTGACAACAATAGTAAAGAGTTCAGCTGTGACGCTGCAGCAAGTGCTGATGTCCCTGGAGTTGAGACTTGTGGAGAAGCCGACAAAACGACCGGTGACCAAGGACTATCACAAGTAGACGATATTCAAGAGACGGGCACTAGCATTGGAGCCCAGGATCAGTACAAGCGCCTTGCGAAGGATCTGGGGCTCGAAACTCACAATGATGACGATCTGCTCCGTGAAGAAGCTGCCCTGTGCACAGTTGCCACAGACGAAGCCTTGAGACGCTTTTTTGACCTCGAGGAGAGCCATCCGGCATTTCTTGCCGTTGACGAGACAAAGTCGAGCTCGATTTACTGCGCCGCGCTGGGGGCTGACTCGGCAATCCTCTTGGACGAAACCAGAGAGTGGCTTCGATCGTGTACCGACAAGCTGGCGCTGGAATGTATCAGACACGAGAAGAAGGCTCTCCTTGTGTTGATTCTGGAACGTGGCGCCGCCATTTCGTCGACCGCTCTGCTCCAGGTATTTGAGAGCCTCCCAACGAATAGTAACGACGATTTCAACAATCGCTTCGCTCGTGGGATTTCATCTGTAAGACTTGTCTCAAGTGACGATTTTGGCCTGCTTGTCTCTGTTTTGAAGAAGCGAGTTGGGAAACAAACCAAAAAGCACGTCTTGGTAGTCCTAAAGGAGGCACAGAGCGAACATCAGAGACTGACCCAAAAAACAAAAGAGAAAGAAAGAGGGGGGAAATCCGAAACGAAAGCTCCCACGAAACAGGATTCTGAGAAGAACGACAGCGCTACTAGGACAAAGACGCCAGGTGTGGTGGAGACGGACCTCGTCAAAACGGGAACAGCCAACGATAAAAGGACCGATGAAGCCTCGAGCGAGGAAGCGAACATTGTTGAAAAACTGAAGGAACGAATCGGTGTTTCTTTGGCTTGGTATCATCATATGCTGGAGGATAGCCGGAAGAAGATCTCGTTTGATGATTTCGACAAGAGCGCCATCCCTGTTGATCATTCGCATGGCAGATCGACACAGCGCATCGCACAGGTCCACAGTCCAGATTCTAAATCCCCTAGCGTTGTCGAGACCCCGCGATTGTCCTCCAAAGAAATTGCGGCTGCAATGGCGAAGTGCAGTGCGCTCTCTGAGAAAGAACAGACAGCGATGCTGGACGACATTGAGAGAAGCGTGGATTTATCGGATTGGGACGACGACTGCGAATGGACTGTAGAGATGACGGAGCAAGCTCACAAATGGTTTCGCAAACATTTGAAGAAACAGCACCATATCGTGGACCGAGTCATTCGAAGGTTGAAGCTTTTGTCGACGGGGCGCTGGCCGTATGTCTTGTGCAAGCCCCTTAGAACCAGAAGCTCGTCGGCGAAGCTGTATGAATCGAAGATTGATAAAGGTTGCAGAATCATCTGGGAGGTTGCTGTAGCTTTCTCCCCGCGTCGTTCAAAAGCAAACTTTAGTTATTGTGAAGAGTAAGTGAACCATTGTGGTTTGATGTCCGTTGTTCCAGCCAGGTTTGATCCTTCATCGGGTACTAACTGCAATCGACATAGCGTGATAAGGGTATGGGACATTGTCCTTGATCACGATAATCTGACACGAAGCATCGATTTGGCAATCGAGCGCATCGAAAAGTCTCACTCGCGTGGACAGGAGAGCTTGTTGTACTCAGAGTTGGTTGATTTTGACGAAAGCATGGACGCTTCTATAGAAGCTAGCGGGCAGAGGGTCCCTCGAGTGTTTTCCATGAAGCAGGGGGTTGACTGCAATGACAAGCCTCAGAAAATCGAGAAGACCCGACACTATCCACCCGCGAGCGATGACCCTTTGCAGTTTACCCTGCTCAAGTTTTATGAGCTTGACGCTGGGGCAATCAAGCTCCTGCTGGATGGCCAAAATGAAGAACACGACCTGCCGTTCACACCAGGACCAAAAGAACACGAGATCATTCACTATACCTCCGATCCACCTCGAAGCATACTGTTGATGGGACGAAGGTAAGACTTCGCTCCAACTTTGTTCCTCGCTGCCATTCGATATATAGTTGCCGAAACACTTACGGACTCTGCTTCCTCAGTGGCACTGGTAAAACCACTTGCTTGGTCTTTCGCATGTGGGCTCGTTCAATGTACTACAACGCGCAAGGCGTGAAGCCGCGGCAGCTGTTCGTCACGAAGAATGACGTCCTGAGACGAGAAGTCGAGAAGTCGTTCCTCAATATGGGATACGCTTGGCGAAAGAAGAGTCCATCGGGTGTTGCACCACCAGGCATGATCATCGCAGAGAGTGACAATACAAGCTCCGACGAAGGAGCCGATTCGAATTTACCCTTGTTCCTTACATCCAGTGAATGGCTCGAAATTCTTGACGCCGAGCTACCGGGAGAGAGGTTCTTCACGCAGAAGGAGATAGAAGAGCGGATTGACTGCCGAGAAGAGGACGATGCCGTGAAGAGGGGAGTAGAGGCGTTGTTTGCTGACGATGAAAACCTCGGAAGCTTGAATTCAAAAGAGACGGCGCGTCAGGAGATGACGTTTGGAACTTTTTGCAGGTAAGATTGTCACACGCATCAAACATCGTAAGATGGCGGCATGCCGCTAACATGCTCACATATCGCATCTTCCAGGAAATGGCGCAAGATTAACTCGCGCGTAAAGACAAACCTCGATCCCGCGCTAGTTTGGCTTGAAATCAAAAGCTATATAAAGGGGACAGTTTGTTCTTTGCACTTGGACGATCCAGATCGTCATCTGCCTGGCAATCGTTTCTTGACCCTCGACGAATACATCGCACTTCCCCGAAAGGTTTCAAGGCTTGATGAAACCCAGCGCCGCACCGTCTACGCGCTGTACGAATCCTATGAGAAACTCAAGAGAGGAGGGAGCTTCTTTGATGAATCGGATGTTGTGTATAATCTTGCCGGCAGGGTTTCGTTATTCTTGAGCCGTGTTGAAGCAGAAGGCGTCGACAAGAAGCCGTCTATGCAAGGTCTGCTTCCAGTTGACTCCTTGTTTGTGGATGAAGTGCAGGATTTCACTCAAGCAGAGCTGGTAAGGCGTATCGATATGGTTTGTTCTCCCAACACGTTTCAACATATCTCAACCACGTTGCCCGCTTGTTGATGCCCGCTTCAGTACCTCCTTACCAAGCTCAGCCGCGACCCGAACAACCTCATGCTGGCGGGAGATTCGGCTCAGTCGATCACCGTGGGCGTGGGCTTTCGATTCACGGACTTGCGAACCATATTTTACGAGCGTACGTCTTCTCCTTGGGTCCTGTTGTTCGCCGTCGATGCTTTCTCAAATCCATTTCATTCGGCTGCTCGCAGAGTTCAATGGAATTGAGCCCAAACTGTTACAACTGACCCACAATTATCGCAGTCACGCTGGCGTTTTGCGGCTGGCAGCATGCGTTGTGGGTAAGCCAATGAAATAGTGTGTCATACCTTCAACGCCATGAAGATGTCAGCATGCAGCTAACCCTTTTTCTTCATCTCTCAGAGCTCTTGTACTTCTTCTTCAGCGACAGCTTGGATCGCCTCCCACCTGATCTAGGGTTGCTGAGTGGACCAAAACCTTGCATTATGATCGCAGAGTCGCCTTCGGAGCTGGTTTTGATGTTAGACGGTTCCAAGAGGGAGACACAACGCATTGAGTTTGGTGCACACCAGGTCGTTATTGTTCGAAATGAGGAGGCAAAACAAGCCCTTCCCGACGAGTTCGACAAAGATTGGGTGATGACGGTAAGTTGCTGCATTGCCGAGGAATTGGAGCCTTACGTTCTGAGAACGTTTCAACTTACGTTTCGGTTGTGCAAATCACGTTGCAGACGGTCGAGGCCAAAGGTCTTGAGTTTGACGATGTCTTGATCTACGACTTCTTCACTGATAGCCAAGCTTCTGACATTTGGAGAGTGGTGAGTCTCTGTCTTCGTCCAGGGACGATGCTCGAACCAATCGTTTGAAATCTAACGTTGCATTTTTTTAATGGAAAAGGTGGCGAACTATACCGAGGAAGACGTGGCAAGCTACTATGCAGATGTTACCGTCAAGTCGTCTGGTGTGCGAACATATGATTGGGACAACCTGTTGGCATACCAGACACGACACTTGGACTTCTCCATCGAGGAACACAAGATACTAGAATCGGAGTTGAAACAGGTTCGTCCACGCCAGTCACAACCGCATCGCGATGGCAGCATGCAGCTCACCTATTGCGTTACCTGCATCTCCCAGCTCTACACCGCAATCACCAGAGCACGGGTCAATGTTTTCATTGCGGAAAGCGACCCAAACAGGTGTCTTCCAATGTTTGAATACTTTCGGAGACGACATGTTGTAGAGGTTGCAAACATCAAGGAGAGTGGAGACCTGTCCGGTGTGAGGGTTTTCGGCAAGATGTCTGCTAAGGAGGATTGGCGAAATCGCGGCGAGTACTACCTGCTAAAGGCTGAGGGCGATCGTGCCAAGGGCCGCTTGAGACTCGCCGCGAAGTGTTTCAAAAAGGCAGGAGAGACAAAAAAGGAAGAGTATGCGATGGCCTATCTCTCCTTCTTAGAGATTGAAGACTCCGCCGCTACCACAATGAAGCGTCGAGACCGACAAGGAGCGGTGAGAAGAGAGCGACTCTACAACATTGCCATTAAGCTTTTGGAGGCCGAGGACCTCGTCTTCCTAGACAAGGCAGCGCTCTGCCTTTTGAAGACAGGTCAGGAAGAGGTCTCTCGCGCGGCCGAAATGTTTGAACTCTACGCTCAGATTTCCTACGCAAAGCGCGCTCATTCCATTCGAACAAATGACGCTGCTGTGACCCAGAAAGAGCAACAGTATTTCTTGTACGCTGCAAAATTCTTCGAGCGTTGTGCAGCCGAGCAAAACCTTGCTCAAACCGAGAGGCGAGCACTTTTGGTTAGAAGTGTCAGGAACTACCTTTGTGCAGGTACCAATGACGACCTGCAACAAGCATCTGTTCTCTTGGAAAATAACGCCTCATTGCTACAGAAATCATTCACGGCGCTTGCAGCGCTTTGTACACCTTCCACTGACGCTGAGATGGAGCCACTTCGCATCTTTCAAACCAATCTCAAAGACAACGACAAAGGGAAATCAGTCATGGCGTCAATGACAAGGCTCGCTCGGATCGCTTGTCGATCATACTACGAGCAAAATGATTTGGTTGGCATAAGCAAAGCGCTTGAGTCGATCCCGCCCGCCGAGAGAATCCACATGCTGGCTAGCCTCGAAACAGATCCAATGCACTTTGCTGCTCAAACCCCTTGGGGCCGGGACGACGTGTATGCGATTTCACAAAGCCGGACGAAAACGGGCATTGGCACCAACAAGATTGACATCACCTCTTTATTAGTTGTCGAATATGAAGCTTGCGGTCAACACGAGCGAGCTGCTGAGACCTTTGAAGAGCGAGGGATGTTGCTGGAAGCATGCGCTCGCCTTCAAGCGTTGGCTACAGGAGAGACAAACACGGCGTCTCAAAGTAAGCTCTGGTTCAAGGTTGCTGAGCTGAAGACTCGATACGTCGAGCTTGTTGTGGAATCGAACAAGGTGGTTGCAGCTGGCGACAAGGTTGTTGATGTCTTGCAGTCTCTGGAAGATATGATGAAGGCACATGGCGATTCTGTCAAGGAGGAGTTGGCAATGAGAGTGGCACTAGCACGGGTTAGAATCAAAAGAAGCGATCCTTGGGACGCTTTGGAATTGTGCAGCAGTTCAATTATGAGAAAACATGATGCCATCATGCTAGTCATTTTAAGCCAAGCTGGGATCGAAGATTTGTTATCGGGAAGACGACGGCGGGACTGCTGGACTGGAGTGCTTTTCGTAATGGAACATATCGAGGCATTGAGTCAAGCCGCAGAAACTTTGTGTCGAACAGCAAGCTCTGGAAAGACAGAAGATGAAGCTTTGGTGGGGCAAGTCGAGTCCTACTTTGGGCTTCAACACTATCAGTTTAACCCGCAGACCATCTCCACAGCGAATTGCACCAACTTGAAGCTCAGGAAGGTGCTAAAAGAAGAGGGCGAACATGCCCTCGTCGAGTCCGCGTTACCGCAGCTCGTCGTAAGGCTGAACCGCGGACAAGTTCATATGATTCTCGCTCGACATCTCTTTCGAATGGCTGCGACGTTGCTGCTTTCAGTTGAGAAGCACTTGTCGGAGTGGGCCATGAAGTATCAACCTTGTGAAGCGATCTCGGCTGGGTTGAAATGCAAGGATGGGCAAAAATGCAAACACTCTCATGCGTCCCAGGTGAAGCTGTGCCGCCAACGTGCGAATTTACTTCAGTGCCAACTGCGTTGCCTCGAGCAAATCTTGACTCTCCGACGGAGCATTACTGCCAAGTTCCATGATTTGGCCGTAGAAGGTGCCTTGTACAAGCGACATAGCGAGACCATCCGCCACGTTACCGATGCGTTGGCGAATTACGTGCTTCATTCCAATGGCATGAAGTTCAAGGTTGTTGAAGACAGTGTTCAGGAGGATGGCCCCGAGTTCGGTTACATTCTATGGCGCCAATCCACTCTCAAATCCTTAGACTTGAGTGAAAATTACCGATGGTTCAAGCTTTCACAGAAAAGGAAGACATCACTACTAGTAGATTTGATGGAGATTATTCGGTACTGGAGGATGATGCGAATCTGCCACGACGGCAATAAACCCAACAAAACCTTGGACGAAAAGCTGCGGGAACTGGAACGGAGACTCAAGAAATCTGCAAAAACAAAGCAAGCGCTTGACTCCCAATCGGCAAACAACAGAGCAGATATCTTTGTTCAGGGGACTGCGGATTTGTTCTCTCGAATGTGGCTTTGGGCCGTGGACAATGCCGCAGACAACATTTTTCAGTCCATCTCCATAGTTGAGAATCTCATCAAACTGACATCCAGACGAGAGGGTGTTTGGACGCTGAACAAAGCTGACCAGCTTGCGCTATTGGAAATCAATGCTGTCGGCCTTTTCTCCGTTCTCTCCCTTCGCTACAGTGGTGGCTCCGACTCGCAACATTGCTGGTGGCTGATTCCTCAGAGGATGTACTTGGACTGCTTTGTGACAGAAGACAGTTCAAACCGATCTCGCGGCTTTGGATTGTCTTACCAAAAGACCGTGATGAAAGCCATCGACGAAAACTTTTTTGATTGCTTCGCAGCATGTGTACGCCAGTTGGAAACGATCGCCGGTGTGATTGTCATCAACCACCTGCTTTCACGACCGAAGCAAGGACAGAGAACCGACATCTTGCGATTCGAGCGCGCAATTCTTCTGAGTGTCTTTGTTTGTACAAACGCTGTACTTTTTTCTATTGCCGGCAAAAACATGAGTACTGACGATGCACAACAAGAGCTTAACAACTTGCCATCATTGCCACTGTGCAGAAACATCAACGAGCTGGTCAAGATTCTCAAGTCTGTGCTGCTGGGGTGTACAGCTTCTGATAGATTGCAAGCAGCCTTTGCCAAACTCGGGGAGAAACCGTCTCTCTTCGGTGGTTTGATGAAAGGTAGTAGCAACCAAACATTCTTGGATTTGATGAAATGCACAAACCATATGCTTGAGCTATCAGGATGGAACGACCAATTGGTGCTCTGTCGTCTAAAGCAAGCCAAACGTAGTGCGGACGTAGAAATCGCCACGGACACAAGCAAAGTGGAGAGCATTCTCAAGAGAGTGTCTTTTCACGAAGACCGAGGCGTGTTTTTGAAGAGTTACAAGCCACGGTGTCAGGACTTCCTTGCGTTTGGTGACAGCACAGACAACGATGACACAGCAACGAATGTTGCGGAATTGAGCCGAAAATCAGAAGAAAGAAATGCTGCCACCACCATTGCAAATTTCTGGAGAAGTTTGAGGAGACGAGCTGATGCGGACGAGAGAAAGATGCCGTTCCGAGAATGGAAGGTCATCGTTGCAAGGTTTGTCAACGTCGTCAAACGTAGAATGGCTGCTGTCCTTCTCGAGAAAGCGCAGGAAGCGCTCGCATCGACAGACGAACGTTGCACACAGCTGCCATTGAACGAACTTCCAAATCCATTCGAAGACCAGATGTTCTTTGAATCGATCGTGAACAAGTACGATCAAGATCTGTCCCAGTATCGTCCATTTTTTGATGGTTTTGAATGTACCTACTGCGGATACTATGTCTCCCCTATGGATGCCCAGCGACGCTTTCAGTGGTGCCAGCTTAACTGTCAAGGTTTGCCGTACAGCTCTGCGGCAACTCATTTCAACATGGCCTTCTTCAATGGCCCAGAGGCACCCTTCAGAGACGCTGGGATGTCATTCTGCACTCACGGGTACGACGGTGGACATCAGCACAACATCAAGACCTACGAGATTCATCACCAAAGATTGACTCGTTTGGCCGCACTGCTGGATTGTGGGCTTACCGTGGTTCATGGTATAATTATTGTGTCTGGAAACCAACAGAATGGTTATCAAGAACCATCAGAGATTTCTTCCTGGTACAGTAACATTGGAAAAGAGGCGTCCATGATGCTGATGGAGTTGGAAGATTCACGATATTCTTTCTTTGGTGAAGCCACGGCTTGGCCACCGATGGACCATTTCCAAATGCTGGAGGCTGGAATCAGTGCAAGCTATCGTCGAGCCCAAGATCTTTTCAACCGTGTGCGAGCTGAAGAGATGCGGATGGCTGCATCCGAGGAGACCAAAGACACGGACGATCAGGTCCCTGGAGAGATTTCGGATCCTGTCGTTGTACGGTTGATCGACTAGACTTCCCTGCAGTTCAACGTACGCACCCTCGTAAATAACTAAATAGGGATTGCGAAAAAGAGGCAAAACTAGGTGATGCCTGTACGGTATTGGACCCTAACACTGCTATGGATGATAGTCCGCACTTGCTCAGCGGGTGCGTGGTTTTTGCTTGCTAGCTAGCTAGTCCACAATATACTTTTTTCGAAGAGTATCGTCGTCGACCACTGTTGCCGAGCTCGTCTTGTTTTAGTTAATAAAGGAACGAACGTCCTCAACGTGGCTTCCACATGGTACGCCGTACCTGGTACCGCCAACGGTGACAGGGGGTAGAGAGCACTACATACAGCCTGTGCATATGAACAGGATTTTTAGAGAGCCAGCCTGCAGTCAAATTTTGGCCTGACAGGCGACCCGATTCCTGTGCAATTGAACAGGCGACGTGATTCCTGTGCAATTGACAGGACGATGCGATTCCTGTGCAATTGTACAGGATCGACGGATTCCTGTGCAATTGTACAGGATCCGACCTCCTGTTCAATTGCACAAGCGCCTTTGCAATTGCACAGGAGCTTAATAAGCATAAGAACAAGAACAACTGATCCTTTCACTACTACTACCACCACTACTACCACTGTCATATCTGGCTCTTGCATTCATTTGTGGTTGTGGCTTTGTGTTTTCACTGAGAGATTTGGACTTCATTTCTCCGGATTCTTTTTCATTATCTGAGAAGAGGAAAACACAGGAAGTTGCAACCATCTATTCTTTGCAGAGGACATGCTTGACTGTAATGCTGAATGTAATGGCAGATCTATGTGTTACTGTAAAAGCCTACCCAGAAAAAAATGTCACAATTCCTGTGCATTTGAACAGGACGTCGAGCTCCTGGTATGTACAGCCTCCTGTACATATGAACAGGCAGGCCGTCCATTTCCTGTGCAATTGAACAGGCGTCGCTATCCTGTTCGATTGCACAGGCCGTCCATTTCCTGTGCAATTGAACAGGCGTCGCTATCCTGTTCGATTGCACAGGAAATTGGACGTTTTTGAATTCAGGCCAAAAAAATGGCTGGCCTTGCTCTCAATCTGCGGGCATCCTTCCTGTTCATATGCACAGGCTGTATGTAGTGCTCTCTACCGGTACCCCCTGTCCGTTCCTGGTACAGTACCACTCTCCACTTCGACAGAGCTTCGCCCAGGTTCAGAAGGTTAAGGTTACACTCCTGCCAAGGCGACAGCGGACTGCCTTCCATAGCAACACCATGATGAGCTTCGAGGTATCAGGTGTAGGTTTGTTGGGAGCCTCTGTCACGGTGGCTGCAACGACTCTGGACGACGCCGTTTGGCTGGTGCCCTATGTGGGATCTTCCTCCAAGTGGTCTACTTCGGCTCGTGTTGTTCATGCCTTTCTCTTTTTGTTGACGCTCCTGTCGCTGGCTGTCGCTAGCGTTTTGGTTGCCTTTTTCATCACCAGAAGTGTCACTCTCACTAGTAGTAGTACTGTTACCGATGAAAACAGCAAGCGTCAGGAGATCTTGATGGGTGCGATAGCCGCCACTCTGTGCTGGATTTTGGCCATTTTCTTTTACGTCAAGAAATGGCTCAAGCGTCGGCGCCGTCAAAGGCAGGAAGAGGAGAGATTGATAAGACTTCAGGACGGCGAATCGGAGGGGCCGAACTATGATTCCACGAAAGGTACCACCAGCAGCAGTCCAGAAAATCAGCCTCCGTCGGAAGATCATGGGGATCCAACGGGGTTGAGCTGCAGCAGCATTGGCACTGTGATTTCCTTGACAATGCTCGGAGCCTTGGACGAATTGAGCTACTTTCCAGCACTCCTTGTGGGAAAGATATTTACACCCTGGGAAATCTGCCTTGGAACACTGTTGGCTGCAATTTTCATTTTGCTGATTGTCACATGCTGCCTGGCTCGATGCAAGCCACTGGCGGATTGCCTGGACCGCATACCAATCTACACCGTGATTGCGCTGTTTGCCACCATTCTGACGTTGGGTGTTCTCTTTGATGCCCTTTGGGATGACCGGTAGACTTTTACCGTTTTGCTGTCCGCACTGGCACCTGACTGCCACAGCCCAACGACAACCAACTTTCTAATCCCTCTTCCACCGCGTGGAATTGCGACAATCATGTTTGTATGTGGTCCGGTAGGGTTTGACATCTCGCGGTGACAAATGATCTAGGGCACTCCATCGGTTCCATCGATTGGCAAATCGTTGCCATGCCTTGGTATGCAAAAAGCTTCCGGAAGGGTTGCGACACAAATTGGCGGCATCGGGGATGCGTTTTCCATCTTGACTCGACATCCAACAATTGGGTTCGGGCGCGCATCGGAATTCGGTGTAATCGACTACGGCATCTTCGAAATTGTGGAGAAAGAGTCCCAGGGCAAAATGCCAATAGGCTTGATCGCCCCATCGATGGCGAAAGAATCCTTGGGTCCATTCGTGAGATAGAAATTTGCCCAACTGTAGTGGCCCCGGGGATGTAAAGTAGTCTGTTCGACCGATAATGAAATTGCTGTAGTAGCGATCTGAATCCACCGTCAGTAAGGGATGTTGGTCGCCACTGCAGTAGTGGCCATTCCACGTCTTGGTAGAGTTGTTGTTATTGTTGGATCCATCAACAAGAAGATGCGCCGATTGCCGGCTAAACGCCCGCACCGCCGCAGCCACGGTATCCGCACAGGGCGTTTGGACGCGATCGGGATACTTTGCAAAATGAGCAAAGACGGCTCCTCGTACCGTCATGTCATGGGTGAGTTGGATCGGTATTGTTTTGGTAAATACCACGTCGGAATCGACTTTGAAAAAGTAGTCGTACTGTTGCAGTATTTGCAAATGAAGCATTTCGTAAATGTACCATCGCGTCCCTTGTACATACGTTAAGGGTGCTTGACAACTTTTGGGGGAAATGGCAATGGGGGTGTCACTGGTGTCATCCAAATAGGCGGATCGATTGGCTTGTACGTAGGGTGGTAGTTGGAGGTCCGTTTCCGCTAAAAAGATACGCGTGGTAAAGGAAAAAGACGGCGCTCGATGTTCCCATGTGGTCATGGTGGATCCATCGAGATTTTGCCAATCTTGATAGACATAGCCGTCGTCCGTATCGTCATCGTCAGTGGGTAGAGGAACCAAATTGAGACATTTTTGCAAGGCTCTCATGGTAATGGTGGTTGTCGTGTTTTTTTTGGGTTTGGGAATCACCAATAGGACATCCAAGCCTTGTGGTACAATCAAATGAGCCAATTGGGATGGAAAGAAATGGCAAATGTAAGGCAACATGTGATCTCCTAGCAGCATGGATATGACCAGTCCACTGGGTGGTGCCTTTTCTTCTTCTTCGTCATCTTGTGGTGTCAAGAGTTCTTGTTCCACTTGCAAAGGCGACATGATGCCCGGCCAGGATTGACAACCAGGGTGGTAACTACTATCAGTTGTAGTAGAATGAGAAGCAAAATAAGAGGCAGTTCTCCCCAGTGAATTGCCACTGTTCAATCGACCAAGGATACCTCTCAATTGTTCCATGCCCATCACAAGGCAAAAGGTAAAGGAGGCACACAACAGACCGACCGAATAGTACACTCGCCGTGGTTTGTCACCACTACTTGCTGTAGGGGCAGCATTGGAGCCATGGAGTCTGGACATGATGATGGAAGTGTTTTCCAAATCAGAGGACACTAGTCTACCAGAGTTCGTTCGAGCTTTCTTCAAAGGAGTCCCCCGTCGGTGAATGTTGTCACTTCCTGCCGTCATGGTCCTTGTTGACCACAGACGACAAAGAAGTACCGTGAGCCTCATCGAGTAGCAGGCTCTGCCTCGGCTTTCTAAAGCAAAGGCAGCAGTTTGGGTCAAACCAATGACGTGTCCAGACGCACAGTTGACCTGTTGGCAATTAATTGGTCTTAACCTCGCCAAACAACAAACCACAAGCACTCAACAGCTGACCACCCTTTCCTCTCTTCACTTCATCCTCATCATCATCGTCATGAACCACCGAAGTCCCTCCAAAAATAACAACAACAACAACAACAACAACAACAACCAACACGGCACCATGGAGGAAGGTGGATCCAATTATCAGACCATGGCCGAAATACCTTCCACGCCTACCGAGTCGCACACACGCAGCATCCTCAAGGGAATCACATGGCGATTCGTTGCCACCATGACCACCGTCGTTATTGCATGGGTTGTCATTGGAGATGCCGGAGTCGCATTTCAAATTGGATTCTTTGAAGCAATCCTCAAAATTGCCATTTACTACGTTCACGAACGGATCTGGGCCAAAATTCCAGTCTAGTTACACACGTGGAGGGGGTGATGTGCTTTTAAAAGACGTTGGGAGTTTTGTTGTTGTGGATATCCAATCCAACCGAGTGGGATGCAAGCAACAGCAGCAACAAGACACAACAACTTTGTTTGGGCAAGAATTTTATGGATTTTCTCAAGCAAATACGGTGCTGGTGAAAACTTGCCATTGCCGCCGCAACGAAGCTAAATCCAGCTGCTAGTCTGTGAGGTTTCGGCCCAGTTTTGTTTCCCAGTTTTGTTGCCTGGTGGCAGTCAGTATTGTTCGATGTACACGGTGTTTTATCTTTCTTCTTCGTCTTGCTACGCTACGGAGAAAGCAAATCCAACAATATGCAACCAGTTCAGATCCTATACACTTCCATTATATAAAATCCAACGAGAGATACCCTGCTTCTACCGATACCGCACCTTCGGTATTCATGTGCCTTAGTAGAAACGTCAAATACGTTCCATTGCTGCTTCCTTTTTAAAAGATAAACCTAGCTCGCCAGCGAATGAAATACTGGTAGTAAAGCAGAGGCCGTCACAGAAAAGATTTGGAGTCTCAGCCCCCAAAATTTCGTAAACGCGGTCCGCGAGGCCACATAACCTTTGCGTCCGTTTTCCAGTGAACCAATCGTACCGGTATCCGCAAGGGCGCCACTCTTTCAGGGCATGAAACCTGAGCGACGGTACCAAAGTAGAGTAGGTCAATCGTCCCGGTAGTCCATTTGTCCCTGGTGCCGCCATAATGCTACCTGGTACCGTAGGTTGTATCTGCCCCAACAGACTGGTCCCACCTCGCAGTGGCTACTCTGAGTACGGTAGCTGGCGTAGTCTAGCTAGTGCGAAAGTTGAGTGCCTTGGGAGGGCAGCGAGGCCCACGATTGCTCCCACGCTTTGGAGCGTGGGAGGACGAGCCACGTGGACCCCGGCAATGATGCGAACATCTATCATACGCGAACTCAAAACTTCGCCCTCACAAAATCTTTGAAAATGGGCTTTCAACAATTCGGTTTTTGCAACTACTGCTGATGAATTCGGTCCACACAAGGAGCTTGCTTCCGCTCATCATCATCGTCATCGTCGTAGCAACTGAGTGAATTGTTTGATATCTCTTCATCGTGTGTATCTTTCCAATTCAACAATTCGGGTTGCTTCCCACTTGCATCATCCAACCAGTTACGCAAATCTTCAGGAAAGGATGCTGCCGATGGCAAACCTTACGCTCACACTATTGACTGACAGGTCAGCAGCCAAGCAAAATTGACAAATCAATTCCAAGTATCCTGTCGTCCAAGATGAGGCTCTCTTTGCTATGTTTGATCCCCGTAGTGGCCGGCTTTCAACCGATGCCTCTGAACCGCCTTGCTCTCAGCACCATGATGGCAACGAAACCTGCCACCGAGGAAGCCATGTCCGTTCAGGTAAGATTGATTACATTGGAATGAAACAAAAAGCATTCTGTTTTGATGCAAAAGATCGCTGTGCTCAATCTGTCTGTTCATTCTACCTCCTTGTTTCTGCCGACAGAAAATTGTGAACGACAATCTGCCATCCGAGGAGGATACCCTTGCGGAACGCGATGGATCCATGCGAGTCAAGATGGAACAAATGCTCCGTGAAGCTCAGATTTCCATTACCAAGGCCATTGAAGAGATTGATGGAGGTGCCAAATTTCGCGAAGACGCCTGGGAGCGCAACACGGGAGGTGGAGGCAAGTCGCGAGTGCTAGCCAATGGCAAGGTTTGGGAAAAGGCCGGTGTGAATCTGTCCGTTGTCCATGGAACCATGCCACAGGAAGCTCTCAAGGCAGCCACCGAGCGAGGTGCTACCCGAAGCAACAATGGAGAAGAGGTTCCCTTTTTTGCTTGCGGATTGTCCTGTGTCATGCACCCTCACAACCCTCATTGCCCCACCATGCATTTCAACTATCGATACTTTGAAACCGAGGGAGGTGAGCATTGGTGGTTTGGTGGTGGAACCGACATTACGCCCTCCTACATTGATGAAGACGACATGAAACACTTCCATGGAACCTACAAGGAAGTTTGTGATCGCCATGACCCAGAATACTACAACAAGTTCAAGAAATGGGCAGACGAATACTTTTTGATCCAACATCGCGGGGAGCGACGAGGAATGGGCGGCATCTTTTTCGACGATTTGAACGACCGTGATCCGGAGGAGATTTTTGAATTTTGCAAGGATGCTGCCAACCATGTGGTTCCCGCATACGGACCCATCATTGAAAAGCACAAGAACGATGCCTACACGGAGGAACAAAAGCAATGGCAGCAGCTTCGACGAGGAAGATATGTCGAGTTCAACCTGGTCTACGACCGTGGAACCATTTTCGGCTTGAAAACAAACGGCAGAACCGAGAGCATTTTGATGAGTCTTCCAGAGACTGCCTCCTGGTTGTATGATCATCAGCCAGAGGCTGGAACCCCCGAGGCCGAGTTCTTGGACGCTGCTCGAAACCCACGGGAATGGGTGTAGGCTACGGCATAGATAGAAAAGAAAAAGTAATGCAAATAGGAAGGTGTATCGAAAGTCAACTGTCTTGCTTCTTCTCCGACTGCGGTACTAGCGAGCTTGAGACGAAGAAATGGGGCGGGGGCTGACTCGGAGGTGATGCACCGCTGCGGTGACGGTACCCTGGCGTCAAGAAGCCAAAGGGAAGCACAACAATGTGGCTGCGTCTCGTGTCATCTACAAGCAACTCTAAACCTATTATGCTACAGACTCAAAGGGACACTGAGGTGGGCTGTGACTGAATTCTAGATAGTTTCTTGTCGCGATTCGTTCTACCGGTACAGACATGGTTGTCTAAAGAACCACTGTTTTAGACCTAATCACTGCACTTCCGCCGGACAGCAGGCAAATGCTACTTGCTGGTTGCCGGAGGGAAACCGCTAATGGTTTCGACACAAACAGGCTCAGTTGCGATTGGATATCCGTCCAGTTCAGCCCGTAGAGCGTCGCTTGTTGGCCCAACCACGGTAATAGCAAGCAGTTCAATCATAGTGCACCAAATCGCAGCAATCTTTTCATCTTGATTCTTCAGGTGGAAAGTGCCGCATCCGAGTCGGCAAAGGTTTCAATAAATTCAAGTTTGCCTTCCTCGCGTTGGAATGATTGGTAGAAGAGGGCACCAGGCTTCGCACGGACGCTGTTTGCGAGTTGAGCCATTGTTTCCCTTACTTTCCTGTCATCGGCATCAGGTTTGATGGCCAGTGCGATGAGAAAGGTGATGGTGTTCATCGACGATGTCATTTATTTAGTTTGCGCATTAGGATATTTTTCCCGGTTACTGTTTGTGGAGGAGTTCGGAGCCACCAGTACATACATGTACCTGTGTACTCGAGACGTGCATACCGGTATGCACCCAAGATTGGTGATGAGAGTACCGTTGATGTCAGGTTTGGTAAAATCTTTCTTCTGCGGAATTCTTTGAAAAGTGGTTGGAAGGTCGACGTCAAGACGCGCATCCAAATCGTTCACCACGGGCAATGCTTCCTTCGAAACAGCAACAGCTCCAGTACCAGCGTCCACTCGATCGGGCACTCCATTTATGTGCTCCGATAGTACCGGTACTACATCAGGGGCCTTGCTTGGTGGATTTTTAACATCTATGGATCGAGACGAGGGAATAAAGCCATAAGTGCAGTCAGCCTTTTCTGGTGGCTTTCCGCCACCGATCGGCTGCGTCCAACTGTCATCCATATGCTGCCAAAAGTCATCGCCCATCACGGCTCTGTTCAACGCCTTTCTCATGCTTTGACCATATCGCGGCATCAGGTTTCGCATCACACCACACCCAGCCTCGTGCAGAGTGTGATTGTTGGGGAAGTCCAGCCTCGCCTTGATGACCGTATCCAAGCCTCTCGAGTTTGTAAAGGCCAGCCTGTTGTCGGGACAGTCCGTCAAGCGCTCTAGCAAACGGCAGCCGTGCAGTTGCACGCATGATTGTTTCACATGGTCGTTCATGGCTGCGACGACAGCGGGGATGCCTCCCGATAGCGCGACGAGTCGTTGATTGTTTGGGTGGTGTAAGGCAAGAATACCAAGTGCCTTTAGGCAGCATTGCACATGCCCTGGATCAGCGGAATGACTCTTGTTGCTCAGAGAAGCCAAAATAGCCATGATGCCGTCAGCTTCGGCAATCAAGGTCTTGTGGAAGTCAATGTCACGGGCAATAACGGCAAGGGCATCCACAGCTGCCTGCTGCAGCTCAAGGTCGGAAGGGTGCCGTTTCAAGGCCTGACAAACCGCTGCCAGGGCTCCATTCTCGGCGAGAAATACCTTGTTGCCGTCATGATTGTAGGCGAGGGCAAGAACGGCCCTGCACGCTTGTCCCTGTACCCCCACATTGGATGCATGGTGATTCATCGCGCCCAGAACTGCTGATATCTCTTTGTACTGGATGCCAGCCATGACCTCTTCACGGGAAGAGTCATGATATATCAAATTACTCAGCGCGGCACATGCCGACTCTTGTACTCCATCGTCCTGTACATGTTCTTCCATGGCAGACAGAACAGTTCCCAAGCCACCCTGGTGGACAATCGACCGGAGGATGTCAGGATTGGTATGACAAGCAATGTTTGCCAGAGCCGCACAACCAAGTTCCTGAACGCCAGGGTTGGAACGATGGGCATCCATGGCATTCACAACTGCAGTGATGGCTCCGGATTGGGCCGCCAACAGCTGACTGGGCTCGTGACCAAAGACAAAGTTGTGGAGAGCGCCACACGCGGCTTCCTGGACGCCGACGTCAGTGCGGTGAAGATGCATGGCTCCCAGAATGGCGGCAAGTCCCTCCGATTCTGCCAACCACTCTTTGTGGCTTTCTCGATTGTATACCAACACTCCAAGAACCTTGCAGGCAGCTTCCTGCACCCCAGGAACATCCTTTTGGGCTGCCATGGCATCCAGGAGAGCCTCAATCCCTCCATTCAGCAAAACGCTCGAGCAAAACTCCTCAGAATCTGAAGCCTCCTTGTGCCATTGATGACAGATTCCTATCGTTCGGGATGGAAATGGATTTGTCGCCAGAAAACTTATCTGCCAGTGCAACTGGCTCTCGTCCACTTCTAGAATAGGGAATGCTTCCCAGCTGCGATGCTTTCTCCAGTCTTGCGGCAAAACCAGCTCCTGAGGAACTTGAAGGCTTGAGTCCTCCTTTTGCTTCTTGAGAAGATCAAGTTGTCTTTGGAGCTCTTCCATCCGGCGCCGGTGCTGATTGTCGCATGCTTTCATCTGTTGCTCTAACTTTGCCAAGCCATCGAGCGGCTCGGCTTCCCGGACCACCGGAAGAGCCTTGTGGGAACCTCTCCCATCTCCTCTCTTGGAATCGCTTTTGCACCCACCAATACCACTCATGGTTGTCCTTGATGCTGTGGTCACAGAACCAGAGCTAGGAGGAAGGCTTCCACCTGCGGAAGCGTGATACGGGAACAGTGTGGGTATCATCCTTTCAATGGGAAATTCAAAATCAACAAAGGATAATGACATCTCTGACAGCTCATCGTCCTCGGTGTCCACCCGCACGCTCACGGGGTTCAATTGCATAGTTGACATTGCCATCTCTTTACGTTGCTGGCGGCAGGAGTGTTCTTGCGGTGTTTCGCTCTCTTTTGTCGTCCTACACACATACATGCACACCGGTATCCGTGTACATGTATCTGCCTCACCTTGGGAGTTTCGGCTCCAGTCGTGGATTTCGTTTTCATCACAGGTTTGTTCTAACGGAATTCTTCGAAACAACGGTTAAGATCTTAAAAGTGAGGCGACCAGGACTTGGGTAGGCGTTCACTCGACTCTTGGGACAAAAGGAAGTCAGTCGATGGCACCATGAAGTTATCTGCATTGTCTTAGTAATGGGCTGAGAGAGCTTGTCTCCCGGTATGGTACCGGTACAACGAAGACCATCGGGTGGAATTGAAGAAATGGTGCGAGGGGTGGTGCCACCGTGGAACGTAAGAGCCTGTACTACGGTACGGGACATGTCCAGCATCGAGCAACGATACTAAGCCACTGGCTTAGCAGTTCTTTCGAGAACGAAGCCCCACAGGAACAGCACATCCCAACGTTGACCAGACGACTTCCTTCAGCGAGGACTTTTTGATCTCGTCTGATTATTACATGTACCGGTAGGCTACTATCTCCGACTCAGCTACCGGTACCGAGCCAAGATCCAGTCTCAATCAACGAACGAACGACTTTCCTCGCTGCCGGCATCCTGAAACGATGGATGCTATCAGTTTTAGTTCCTGAACCGGTCTTTGCCGCGGTGTATGTGACGTACGAGTTCTATGAAGAAGCAAACCGGTACCGGTACCCCCGCTGCCTTCAAGCACGCCATGATGCCATGATGACTTCCAAACTGGTAAAGACGAGTTGAATGTACCGTTAGCTAAAATTACTAGGAGGACAAAACGGATATCTGCTTCTGTTCTATCTTCCTCGGGCGTTTCTAGACTCCGCATGTTCAGAGGTCGAGCTGCTTTTCAGAGTGTTAGAGGCAAACAGTCATCGCCGATCCAACAGAGAGCTAAAACATCACAACTCTCGAGGCAACACATTGTCTCGCATACACGCAGCGAGCATCAAGGAGCAACGAGAGCTGATTCCGGAGTCAAGTGTTATTTGGATCTTTGGTATCTTTGGTGGTGGGTTTTGGTTGGATGATTGAATCATTCACTGGCCATCCAAATGGGCCTTTCAAGCCTCGTCAAATCCGCCCAACAGCCCTCGAAGCCGCTTATCCTGTGGAGGCTGTGCATCCTTGGAGGGAGATCTTTGAAGGGGCTAGCTTGCAACCTCTGCTACTAGCTAGCTCTCTATTACGGCAGCAAACCCAACGCAAAGATCTACCGGTGGCTGTAGCTGGCTCCTTCTGAAAGATACCTAAGGCTCATTTGTGAATCTTCGGATCTTCCCGAAGCTTTCCACCATTCTCCCCTCTTTACGATAGCCACTCCCAGTAGTTCCCGCCGAAGCTGGCGCTACCGGTACTGCCCTGAGTAGTGGAGTATTAATTTTATTCAGTGGAGTTGTCAGCTGCCAGCTACCTTCCGGTCTTTCGGAATGGTGCCATCGTGCAACCCACGTGGCGAAGCGCCACGCTGGAGCCTGAAGCCAAGCTGCTCGATACCAGTCGTACAGTACTGCTTCACTGGCAAACCTATGAGGCAAGCCGATGCCAGCAATAAATCATACGACGAGCGCTATGAGATCTTGTGAGCTGCTTCCCATCTTCCGCTACTTGTGGATTCGAGAGCCGTTGGTTTGCGTGTCGTAGGATACTCGTCACCACAAAAAGGTGAGCCTCCGGAGCTTGTCGTTGCGTCACAAACGGATGCTGGAAGTAATTACGGTAGATGCGGTAAATATATTTTTCAATAGAAATATTTGGAGTAAACAATAACTTAAACCCTACATTTACCTAAGCTACCTCAATACAACTGTCGATTCCGCAACGGTTAGTTTCAGAAATGAGCTGGGTGAGCTGGCTCAAAACCGCGTTCTGTTCGAATCGCAATGGGTTCTTTTTCTGAGAACAGCTGCTGCACAATTCTCATAGCAAAGGTGTGGAGGAACTTGTTAAAGGGATTAGGACAGAGTTCCCTCCCAACTTTCTTCGGTCCCTCCTCTCTTAAAGAAAGCTTTTTTACAACTCGTAAAACTTCAACAGAATATAGAAAATCGTACCGGAACTACTTTGCCGGAATTCTACAATGGCCAAGTGCTTCCGGCATTCGAAGAAGATGTTGGCTCTTCCTCTCCTGTGCTGTAATCAAGAGTAAAATGCTCACAACTTTTCAATTGTCTTCTTTTTTTGCTTGACCATGGTGCTTGCTACGATCCACCCCTCCGACTCATGCGGTACCTTGGTCAGCCTGGATAATGGCTCCAAGCCGCTCTTGCACGAGAGCGACTTTTGCCATGGATGTTCTCCATCTTCTGTGGTAGCCTACCGCCAGACTGCCTTGAAGCTTGCGAGTGATGATAGTGGCTTGGATCTTTCGTCAGCGAGTAGTAGTAGCAGCAGCAGCAGCATGGACAACAGCTATAGCTTTTGCAGCTGTGAACAGCAGCAGCAACCAGAAAAGGTGCTCTTCCTTCCCGCTGCACAGTCGGATACCCCCGTCGATGAATTTCTCCCCTCTGTCCCGGAACTTCGTGACTCCCGCGATGAACTTCTTGCAGTGGATCCAGTCCAATTCCACAAAGCTTCTTCCGAAAAGTTGCTCTATGTTCATCAAGGTGAAGTGGCTCATGCCTTGGCATCGCAATGCGATATCCTCGTCTCGGATCGAGCCACCACGTGCCACATCCTGGCCCTTCGCAGTGTTGGAGACAAGCCTGCCATGACTTCATTGACTCACATTGATAGTGATCAGTACGAGACGTGTATCCGCGCCATGATCCAAGAACACAAGCTCCATCACAGCAGCAAGGAGGCCATCACGATGGAGATCAACATCGTGGGAGGCTTTGCCGATGAGGAAGGTCATTCTCAAAAGATCTCCAACTGGCTCTTGCACTTGTTGGCGGATATTGCCGAGGAAGAGACTGACTCTATCGAGATGAGACTCAAGACCTGTGCCATTTCCTCCATGAACGATAGTGGCTTTCAGTGCCCCATCGGTCGTGGTTTGGCCATTCACCTCGCCACCGGCCAAGTCTTTCTCGCCAAGGCATCTTCGGCAGTGGCTGGACCCCACATGATCCTTCGCAATGCCCGTCTTTGGTCGTCGACCGAAGAAGAACATCCTGCATCCAAACTGACAGTGATTCACACTGCCAAGTCCAACGAGATTGTCATCGAGCCTTTTGCCTTTGCTGCCATCCCTGGTATGGACAGGTTGATGGCGCTGCCCGATGACATTCTCTTGGAGTACACATCGACTTCACCCTGTGCCGAAGAAGATGATTTTTGCCCCACTGTGCGCTCGACACTTCGTTTTCTTTTGGAAGTGCCGCACGCTAACGTTTTTGGTCGCCTTTGCGATCGCACTCTTCGCTTTGTCAGACGATGCCACAACTCCAACGAATGGATGTTGGTGGCATAAAGACACAAGAAGAAGAGCGCCCTACTTTTGGATTCACTCCTTTTGAACCATTTTCTTTCAAGTTTACCTTTGCATTTTACAACCTCCTCCTGTCTTGTCAATTTTACCCCGTCTCAAGTCAGGAGGAAGGCTGTGCTGCTATTCGGTCCTTTCAGCAGCCAGCCAACCCATTTTGATCCTTTTTACGTACTATCATACAGCTTTTAATTCATTCTACTAGAACCTTATAACCACTACATACTAAATGAAAACCTAGCTAGTTACTTCGCTGGTGTACTACTCAGAGTAGCTGTCAATGGAGGTGTGCACTCGGAAGGCTCGTGGCAGCAACCAGGATGAAACCCCTCGTGTGACGAAAGCCCTATGAGCAAACATCCACGAAGGCCCAGGTCGATCACCCAGGTTGCTTGTACCACTATTCTCACATCTACTAGCTAGCTAGCTTACTATCTGCAAACAGAAATCAATCATTGCGTGCTCTGGTTTCAACAAAACACCTCATCGCACAAAACACCACCAGTGATTGCACCCAATGTAAAGCCCTTTACAGCCATAACCGCTCCAACGCCAATGCCCACCAACACAGGGAAAGCAGAAATTGTCTCAAACGGCGGGCTGCTGGGCGCCTCAATTGGTGAATTGCTTGGGCGGACGCTGGGTTCTTGGCTGGGAAGAAGAGATGGCGACACTAACACTCGGAGATGAACTGGGTTCTTTGGGACTCTCACATGGTCCATGGCTGGGAGCGAGAGATGGCGAGGAACTCAGCACACTGGGTGAAGAGCTTGGATTACTGGATGGAGTGCTGCTTGGCTGTATCACTCTTGTCGTGCACACTCCAGGGTTGGTTGCAATTTCACCTTGGATATAGGCGTGGTGGAATGCAACATTCACTTGACCACTGCGCCTGTTGGGGTCATCTGGGCACTTGCCGAAGCCATATGAGGTTATGCCAACTGCATAATAAGCGTTTGGGGGCAAGATAGGCAGCTCTTTGAGTTCTTATTGAGATGTCAATTCCCACGACGTTGGCTGTGCTGAGCGGCGACTTTACCTTGCAATGACGTGTCATCGGTCGAGAGATGCGGACCACCAGAGTCTGAAGTCAAGGGAGCAACCAGATGAGTTTCCGAAGGCTCGTTGCTGATGGGGTGCACTGAAACGTGATGTTTCCTCACAGAAGCTTGCCTCCCTGGCATTGCAAAAAGAGGTTGTGTCCTGTCAAGGTCAGATTGGATGGATTCAAAGCAAACACAGTAACAAAGCGAGCAAACACGTCGTCCAACACACTCACGCCGCACGTGGCACGTGGCAATACCAGCATCAACTCTGGCGCAAAAGACATCGGGTGGAGCCTGGCAATCCGTCGTTACGTCAAGGTCAGCTTTTTGTAGTGTGTTTGAGAGTCGTCCAGCTTCAGTCCTACCAAAGCCAATCGCTCGTACAGCGGAGAGTGCAATGCCAGTGTCCATGTTGAGAGAAGCCAACGCCGGAGTCAACAAATTGGAGTCCAAGTGTAGAACCGCTACGTCATTGCCTCTTCCGACACGCCCGTCCCAATCTCTGCAGCGGGAAAGCACGAACGCATTAGTGATTCTTCATCCAAAGGAAGCCTTGTCCTGTAATGGTGATCACGTACGGGTGCATACAACCCCGAATAACGTTGACTTGTGTACCGTCAGTTCTCGAAGTAGTGGCGCCAATTCTTGCAATATCGCACGTGACATCTCTCACGACTGCGCCGGTTGTTTGATTTACTTCGAACATGCAATGAGCTGGAAATGACGGCCGATGGCGTGAGGGTGGGAGGGAACATGTCGATTGGCGAAAATGCTTTCGCGCGCTTACCAGCCGTCAAAACCTTTATGAAATGGAAATCGGAGAGGAGAGCGTCAGAAGTAACATCAAGCATTGCTAGACATGAGGCACAGTTTGCACGTAAGTTGTGATAATCTATCGTGGCTTACCGGTTGGGTGCAATCAAGGATCCTCCACAACCACAGGAACCTGGGTCACTCCTGTCCGTGCAGATTAAGGCAAAGAAAGGGAACTCTCCTGGCAGAGCATCATCCCCGTTCGCTATGCTCGCTATGGCTTCGCGAGGGTCCTCATTGGCACCGAGACGCCTCGCTGCAGCCCCACGAAGGGCCACGGCAAACAACAGAAAGGTTAGAAGGGCGTTCAACATTATCGTCAAAACTTTTGAGCCACCGGCACTGTGTCGGTGCAGAAGGCAGGAAAGAGACTGCCTGGTACACAACAATGATTCGATTCATCATTCAATGGAGGAGCCGCGGAAGGATCTCTTTCTGGATAACGTACCGTATCCAAGTCTGAAACGCGAGCACATACTAGTATAAGGCCAATTGAGGAATTTACACGTAGACTAGTACCAGTTCGCTACGCGTCGGCGAGGCCTCCAACTCGCCTCCGACCGACCGTTGTAAAAACCTTAAAGAAAGATCTAGTGAGTTAGTTTAAATGAGTCCTAACGGATTGGTGACTCGCGCGAGGAGAGTTATGAGCGACTCACAACTATCGTTCGCGAATCCCACATTCTCCTGACTGAACACAATCCAACGAAAACAACAAAGAAAAACGCCTCCACGATGACAGAAAGCCGCTGTTTCGAACACATTACGGCTGCTCCGAAGGCCCAGGAACTTGTGCAGGAGTAGTAGGTTCACCATATTCAGAGGCCTGAATGGCGGCTTTGAGTGCAGCCCTTGTTTGAGCATCCAAATTTGCCACATTGTTGGTGACAGCCTTTGCCATTCTGTTGGTGGCAACTCCCAATTCAGTGTCTTTGATGTCAACCTTTCCGGACAACAGCTGTTGAAGCTCAGCCTCTTGACTATCGGTCCACGCAACAGTGGGAGGCGGCGACGGATTGGTGTAATACGCGGCAATCATGTCAACTTTGCGACTTGGAATTGGGGAAACTTTCTTCCATTTGAGAAGGGTTTTCAGTTCGGAACAAACGAAGGATCGCTCTGTTTCTTGAGTGAGATTACCACGACGAGAGAGAATCTCTTCTGCTTGCTCTTGCAGTTTGGCAGCGTCCACTTTGGCCTCCTTCTCATCTTTGAGTTTCTTTATCATGGCATCTTGTTCCGCGAGCTTCCTGGCTTTGAAGAAATCATCACTGTTGAGATGATTGCCACCTGTTGCATAGAACATCTGGCCGGCAGTTTTTGCCTTCTTGATGACCTCTTGACGTTCCTTGGAGTTGGCTGTTATCACTGCTACATAAGTGGATCTTTTGGGGGCATCCTTTCTCATGTTTGTGCCTTCCATGCCATGAGAAGTCAAGACGTCGCAGTACATTCTGTTGAGAGTTTCTAACTGCTTCAAACGACGCACTTCTTCCTGTTCCTCGGCTTCTGGTCCGGCTGCAGCTGCAGCGCCTCCAACTGGAACTTCAAAGCGGACATTAGCATGTTGAAGAGCAGCTCTTGTTAGAGGAACGGCTCCAACTTTCTTCCAGCAGTTGAGATTCGACTGGCAATTGAAGGCATTACTGAAAGCATCACGAAGCAGAACATCTGTTGCTGGATCGCTCCCACCAAACACAAGCAGAGGAAGATCGGTGATCTGCATTGACAAGTCCTTGTCAAACCTCGCTTGAGAAAAGACTCTGAGGTTGTCGCGATATGAAGTCTTGTAGACTCCATAGTTCTGATCAGTCTCCTGTGTTGCCCCAGTTGTGTTTGGCACTCCAGGAACCACATAAACTCCAATCAAGCGCAAGTCAGCAAGCATCTCAACATTCATTCTCCCTGGACCGCTGTCAAGCTTTGCAAGAACTCTTTTACCTGGTACGTCTTCACAGTCAGGAAACAATGGAAGGATGCTTCCCTTTATGTATTTGTCCAACTCAATAGCGTTCATTCCTGCCTTCTCATTCATTCCAAATGTACAAGGAAAGGTTCTTCTTTCCTTATGACCAAACTTGCCAAGGACGTCCTTGCAATGCTTGAACCAGTCAATGGACATTCGCTGACCTTCTGTTGTTTGTGCCAATGTCTTCAACTGGAAGTGTGGAGGGAGCGGATCACCTGCAGCGCTGCTTCCACAAATGATAGTACATGAGTACCCACTCTTATTGACTGCTGTGGCTCCTCCCCGGATCTCTGGTGAGTAGAATGTAATAGGAGGACGTCCACCTCTTTGGCCTGTTGTGTCATCAAGCGATCCATCCGTCTCATCCAAGTTGATAATTCTATCTGTTTGACCAGCGAAGAACACCAACTCGCCAATGTCTTGTGGATCAGCTTCTGTTCTCTCTCGTGCAAATCCAAGATCAAGACACTGTTGCTTGAAAGTATCAAACCAAAAGTCAAGGTGATAGTAAGTTGTCCACTGCGACCTTCGAGCTTCTTGCACGTTTACCTTTCCAGTTTCGAATTGGTCTGCAGTGTCTTTCTTCAACTTACGGGCCAGGTCATCTCTTGTTTTATTGAAGCCCATGGTGTTGACCGTCTTGTTCAACAGCTGTCCAATCTTCTTAAGTGTCGACTGCTTCTTGCTTCCGGCTTGTTCCAATTTGAGATAAGTGACAAAAGCTCCTTTCAAAGCAGCATAAATTTGGGGAGGAAAGTCTCCCACCGGACCTCTCTTCAGAGGCGACACACCAATCAATCCTTGCCTCACGTATCGTGCTGCTGTTTTCGCGGAGATGTTACTTTTCAGCCTCTTATTGCAGCCATCCACAATCTCTTGAATTGTTCTCTTCTTTGGATGATCCTTTGGCAGATCTTTATTCCTGGCAATGAGAGTTGTTGCCGCCTTCATTGCTGACTTGTCCCTCTTGGTGAGTTGTATCTGTTTTGCATTTTGTCTCTGCAGTTCTTTGCTTGTGCGCCTTGTTGACTTGTTATCCTCTTCCTTTGATGCATCTTCTGAAAGTGGTGAGACATCTGTATCAACAGTAACAGTGGCAACAGATGGACTGGAATCATTTTTGGATGCTGCCGCTGTTCCGGTCAGACTCGATGTTTGCGAGGAACCTGCTCCTACATTGACACTGCTTGGTGGCTGAACAGCACCAATGGCACTACCAACAGACACAACCACCTTAGATGAGGTACGTCGCACTTGCTGGTAGAAGGTCATCTTGTTTCTATCAGGTGTCGCGAATCCAACCATCTTCATTGCTTCCTTTATTTTTATGGCTCCTTTGCTAATGGAAACAAGGGCTGCAGCCCTGTCAATTTGGCTTTGCTTATCCTCCCTGCCGCTCATGATGGTATTGAAGAAGAGATTGCACTAGTGTTGTCCCTCTCCGGTAAGCCACAAGATGCTCTATCCACACTTTTACAACAGCATGTTGCTGTTCGGCGAAGTGCGACGACTGCCTCACTACACTCCGATAACGATTTTCAGAAGGAAGAAGCACTACGCGACTATTAAGAAGACTCATCGGCCATCACCAATACTATTACTAACGTTTTCTATTACTGGTTGGATGGTGTTACCGGTTGGGGTAACTGCAAAAAGGTAGGCCATGGTCGATGTTTCTGTTTCTCAGAATTTCGTGTAAATTTTCGTTGGCTCATTACCCTCCTTATTCTAGTACATTATCGAATAATCGCTGAATGACTTGTCGCCAGAGCGTTGAACGTTACCGGTAGCTACTGCGCACAAATGGATGACGACGGAGCGAGGTCCCCTATTGAAACCTCGTGGGTGTACCGCTACCGCAATCTCATTCCTTGGTTGAAAAGCAACTGAAGAGCGATGCCTTGTCAAAGCATAGCAGAGCTTTGTAGCTATGCATACAAGGTAGTACCGCTTTGGCGACATTTGCAAGGGCTCCCCTTGGGCCTTCATCCGTTCCACAGTGCGCTTTCGTCACTTGTGCGCCACGCCGCCATCTACTCATACCGGTATGCCATTACCACCATCATAGAACTGACATGACCAGATTGTGGGTTCGTACTTCGAGAGGATGGCTCCGACCGAAACCTGAGAATTCATCAGCTTCCTGCTCAGCCAATACACGGGACTACCTGAAAGCCCACCATCGCTCCCACGCCTGCTTCTCGTAGTTCCCTCTCCAAACGGTGTCATGCGTAACGAAAGAAGGTTGGACCATGACGAAGCGGCTTGGGTTGTCGAAAAGGACAGCAAAAAACTGGGACACACCTTTGATGGAAATGTGGACTTCCATCGACCCCACCAGTACCGTGCCTTGAAACGGCTCGTCTGTCTGCCGTTGCAATGGTTGGACTTGATGTCTTGCAGTTGGTATCATAGGTCCTGACAAAAACAACATCTATCTAGTGCAAACAAGATACAGAGATTTGTATAATCCGTGATTTGTCTATAGCGTCACCGTACTCGAGCCATCCTTCCGGTACCGCATAACATAGCTCGTACATCCGCACCAACGTTTTGTCGCAACTCTGTGCAGGTTCCCAATCAACCCTCAAGGTCAAATGCAAGTTGTCGCTTTAGAACAGCAGTCGCCGTCGAAATAGGAGATTCGATTCAATCTCCACCGACTGTTTCTAGTAGTTTGAGTCAATGACATTCACTCCCATTCATCACCACGACCAGTGTCTTCCTAGATGCAACTCATTAAACTTCAATGATTGGTCCTCGACACTGTCCGCTCCTTCCATCTGACATTCATCGTAGCTGTGCCATCGATCCCCATATGTCATTCCATGCTTGCCAATGCCATGATCATCGGAAGCGCAATACACGTCAATACCGTCATTCGACATGAACACGATGTCTTCTTGGGGATCCACCCGGCACTCCATCGTGGCTTCGTTGGGATCCCTGGCGACCATACTGTCATATTCATTCTTGTTGTGGTTTTCCTCGGAGCTATATGTCAACGAATCAATGGAGTAAATGGTACCGTCAACTTCCTCGTTGTGTCGGTTCCCGCAACAAGATGGTAGACCATCCATGACGATTTTTATTCGGTTTGTCAGGTGACAAAGATTGCAGATGAAACAGGACGCATTTTCTTTCCAGTCAAAGCCAACCCGACAACCCTCGAGTAGAGATGGTCTACCCACAATGCCCCCGAACCTGATACGGACATGCCCTTTCCTCTTTCCTGGTGGCGTCTCCTCCGGATCTTGAGTTTGTTTTACTTCAGTCCTGGAGTCCCCTTGGTTGCTGCATTGCTGGATAGCCATCACATTATTGTCGCGCCCTACAGTTCTATCAAAGATTCCCATGGTCGTTTTCCCGCATGCAGTGGCGGTTGGATAGTGCAACCATGCTGGCCCGTCGTGCCTACCAGAGGAATGACACGCAAGCGCGGTTCACGCCAAAACCTGAGTTCCACCCCAAATTTTGGCATTTTCGGTCAGAAGATGATGGGCAATTTTCCAACAACCAACTATGGGTATAAAGGAAGCTTGCAACAGTACAATAGATCATGGCGGGCGAGGTTGAGAAGAATGAGGGATCATTACTATACCGTTGGTGGTACCGCTACGTAACCTGCAGTTCTTGGTCCCTGAATGCTCGTTTGAGATGCGACGGTATTCCGTATCCAAGCTCGGACGCAGCTCCTGTTCCTCTTCCCGCCACTACGCACCGCGCGCCTTTGTGAAACGCAGCCTTGCGACGCTACGGTACCGGTATTGGTATGCACGATTTGCATCCAACTCCGTATCCTGCACCGACGTCGCTCGTTCCGTCCGATCCGATGCTGCAGCGGTGCTCTACTAGCTAGATGTAGTAACCACATAGGAATCGAATCTCCTTCAGCTACTTCAGGTGAGCTACATTTCACTCGAACTGGCCCGTCCTCTCCGTTTGTGGACAACGAACTGTGCCATTGGTCTGGAAAAGTAGGTTGGTGCATTTTTTGAAAGGACGGTGAGGTCAGGTTGACTGAAGATGAACCAAAGTCAACTTTGATCTTCTTGTAGCCTTGCCGACTGAAATAGTCGGAATGCCAACCCGCCTTTCTAACGTTTACTAGACCAACCGTTGCCAGATTGCTAGATAGTGATCGGATAAAGTGAGAGAATGAGGAAGCCTTGCTCGTTTTCGCACTCGTCCTTTGTAAGCTGCTTTTGCTGCGACGCTTCAATTGTAATCCATGCTGAGTAATAGAACATCGTAACATCGTCCATCAATCTCTCTTACCCAATACAAGCAAGAACTATTTTGGTACCAGTAAAGACAAGATGGTGCAAGTGTTGACGGCAAAAGTTGGCTGGATGCTGCTTTTGGTTTCCCTCCTGAGCTTGTCTGGTTCCTGCAATGCTTCCACGATGATGGACAGCAATGCTGAAACTTGTTTGTCCGATGGAACTTGCCAAGCAGATCCCAAGGCTAGTACTACTAGTACCACTACGAAGAAGGGCAACTCGACTGCTTCTGTGAAACTACAGTGCGGTTTATTCTTGGCCGAGAGCTCCATTCCAAAGTCCGGTTGGGGCATGTACACGGGCGTGGACCTACAAGTCGGCAAGGAGATTCCCCCTTTGGATGTAATGATCCCCGTCGTGGACTCCGAACTGCATCGAACCTTGATGCAGCACTACAAGCGCTTGTCACAAACCATAGGGACACATATTCGAGGCAAACACGGTGGATTTGGTCCTAGCAAGCGAAATTCGTCCGTTGCCTTTCGAGACATCAAAGTTCCCAAATGGCTCATGGAACAGTACTATTGGGGTGAGTTGTGATTGTTGCTCACCGTCATGAATTTTACTCTCTATCATATTATGATTCATACTCACCGCCATGTCGTCAGACTCGAGCATGACACACAATTGGTACGATGCCGAAAAGATTGATTCTGTCGTACCTGGTTTGGGCATGTTGGCCAATTCACATCCCGGCATGATTCTCTGCGAGAATGATGGACCCTCGCGTCCCAACATTTTGGGAGGTCACGTTGTCAATGGTGCTGGATCATCACCGTATCAGAATCAAGCCTTTTTGGCAACGACAGACGTTCCTGCGGGTCATGAATTGTTTGTCGAATATGGTGATAGTTGGTTTGAAGAACGCTTTGACAAATCATTTGGTCTCTCGGACGACTACGCACGCAGCAATGTCATGGTCGAAAAGTGGCAAACGTCAATCTTAGATACGCATCGTGACAAGCAAGAACAGAACAGCACGTTGTGGGACGAATTGGAGCAACTACTTTTGCAAGCTGTAGAACCCTTAGATCCACGGTTGCATGAGGTACTCGGTCGATTGGATCTGGTCCGCAAAAACAATGACACCAAACGATTTGCAGCAAAGGACAACCCCGCCGCATATGCGGCGGTGCCCCAGGCACCAAGGAGTGTGGAATGGTTGTATCAGGAAGGAATGTGTTTGGATCATATTGCAGTCTATGATAGCTACGTGGCACCGGGTGAAAAGGGTGCCTTTGCTGCAAGGGATCTACCCAAAGGCACCCTGGTGGCGCCAGCTCCAGTGGTTCACATGTCAAGAGATCACTTGACAATGCTCCTCATGGATACCCATGACTCTGATATCGTCCTGTGGAAAGGCATGCAGCTTCTGTTGAACTATTGCTATGGACACAAGGATTCGTCTCTCGTGTTCTTCCCCTATTCCCCAAGCGTAAACCTCCTCAACCACTACGGCAAGACCACATCAGGCCCCAATGTCAAGCTCCAGTGGTCATCCAAAATGCCTCATCCAGAATGGCTCGAGTGGACGCCCGAACAAGTGGTCCAAGAACAGTACAAGGCTGGTATGGTCATGGAGATTGTCGCATTGGAAGATATTCCACAAGGCGCCGAGCTGGTGCTGGACTATGGCGACGCTTGGCAAGAAGCCTTTGAAGAACACGCGAGAACTACACCGCGACCTCCGGAATTGCAGCCCGTGGACATTAATCTGCATGATCTTTTGACGGTGAATGACCAGCAAAAATACCCGCCCCATGTTGAGACTGTGTGCTGGATTCACAAGTCTCAACACCCTCACTTCATTTACAACCATAGAAAATTGTATGGAGGAAAAATGCCCGAAGCATGGCTTCCTTGGGTACTCATGAAGACGGACTATCTTAGCGACACCGTCTCCTGCGATATTGTTGGAAAACGAACAGACGGTGCAAGTTACAACGTTGTCCTCAAGGACACTATTCAACCTCGAAACGGCGGAGAAGAGATTGACGTAGATGTCCGCATCACCAACGTTCCGCGACGGGCCATTACCGTTGTTCCGTTGGTGTATACCAGCGCGGAGCTCCGCCGAGATAGCTTCCGTCACGAGATTCAGTTGCCAGAGGAAATGGTGCCCGAGCAATGGAGAGATTTGAAGGAAACAACACAAAACCGAGACGAAGAATCCCAATGTCATTTGTACATGGCTGAATCTGCCATCCCCAATGCTGGATGGGGAATTTACCGTGGTTATGCTGCGCCCATGCTCGCAAACAACACAAACGACCTGGACCACTTTTGCGAAGACATGGTGATTCAAGTCGAAGATTTTACCTTGAACCAGGTGCTGCGCAATCGGTTCCACAAGCAAGCTCCTGATTCTGAGATGGACAGCTGGATTCTAGACCATTATGCTTGGAGCGGTGATATCACCAAGGGTGGCAACTTGGAAGCCGAAAAAGTGCAGTCATTCTCTCCCGGGTGTGGAATGCTGGCCAACGCTTACCCAATGCTTTACAATGCACACAAAATGCCACCATCACGTCTGCCTATCAATACCACTGATCCATCCCTCGGCGCGACAACTCATTATCATAGCGGCATGTTTGTGGAACAGTATTTGAAACAGGGCAAGAACAAGATTCGAACGCTGCAAAACGGAATGGAGATTGTTGTCAAGGCAACGGAAGAGTGGCTAGAGTCGAGCAAGGAGGAAGTCCTTGGAAAGTTGCCCTTCCGTCGTGACTTCATGACTGTCGACAAGGTGATGCGTAGCTTCCTGAAGCTGACGCAAACCCACAGCACGGAAGCCACCGACCTTCTTTGGAAGTTGCTATGGAACACCGTCGAAGGTTTTCAGCTGAAACGCATTGCTTCTGTATTGCCGCGAAACCCTGGAGATATCAAAGAGATGCTTACTAAAGGTGGATCCGCCAAGTACACGCTGAGGGATCGTGTAAGGGAACCTGAGTGGCTGGAGACGCATGGCAGTTGCGTGGACAACATTCGGCCGGGCCCCTCTACGATTGACATGGCGGGCAACGGCGCATTTGCCACTCGCAAGTTGGCAGAGGGCAGTGTCATTTCTCCACTCCCCCTGATTCACGTTCATAGACAACACATGGATCTCTTCAACGGTGACAGCATCCGCGATCCCAACAAAGAGGTGTGGCAAGACGGCAAGCAGCTTGTCCTCAATTACATGTATGGTCATGCCGAGTCGAACCTCCTTCTGTTTCCTTACTCGCCAGTTGTAAACTACATCAATCACGCCAACTCGACTGCAGCAAATGCAAAGTTGCAGTGGTCGTCCAAGTTCAATTCAGAGGACTGGCTTCAAAAGTCTCCTGAAGAGCTCCTTCGGCATCACAAAACCGCTGGACTGGCTTTTGATCTGGTTGCGACTCGTGAGATTGCAGCGGGCGAGGAGGTGCTGTTGGATTATGGACCCGAGTGGGAATCAGCCTGGCGGAAACACGTCGAGAACTGGGCGCTTGATCCCAATTGGAGCTACGAACCCCCTGTCAACGAATGGCTGGACTGGATGCCAACCGAAAGGGAGATCGATCACCTACAAAACAGACAAACAAGCTTGAAAAAGACAGATTTCCAGTTTGAGAGACCTGACAAATTCCTTGGGTGCCACGTAAAGCTTCCGGACGTTCCAATCCCTCCTGTATACGATGAAAATGGTGTTCTACCTGAGTTTGAATGGACGCCTGTTGATGGCATGTTTCGGACCACTTCACATGTTTTTCCTTGCGAGGTTGTGGATCGTTTGATTGACGGCGAGCACGACATTCGATATGCGGTTATCAGAAAGGACAGCGTTGCTCCTCTTCATGACTTGTACAGCGCCATTGTTACCGTACATCCTGGCAACCATCAGACGCCACCGAGACGCTTTGTGAGCTACGACATGCCTCGACGAGCCATTGAAATCTTTGACGAAGAATACTCGTCGCCTCAATTCTATAAGGGTGCATTCCGTCATCCGATTGGCATTCCTAACGACTTGATGCCAGATGCCTGGAGAGATTTGAAGAGCTAGGTGTCATGGCGAGAGGCGTTTTTGACCTGCTGTATGGTAGCTTTTACTATATCGATTGTACTTCTGTCTTAGAACCCAACTAAATTAAACTTAAAGTATTCAGTTCATGCATTGGACCTTTGAAATTGCCTTCGCTGTGCAGCGCCCGGTGGTGAAGAACTACTTGTCAGCATTGCCATTGCCCCAGGAACCAGCAACTACATGTAGATAGCCCGGACAGGCACAGGCAACTAAATAAAGCGGCTTTCATGCCAATTACGAGTCCTTGGATTCTTGGCGTGCCTTCTGGCGTTTTTTCCGTCGTCTTTCTTTCTTCTCGGAGGCGTGTCCACCACCCCACTTCAGAACGGACGGAGCGGCAAGACCTTGATCTGAGTTGCTTTTGCTCTTGACTCCGTTGTCTGTGTACTCGACATCATCCACACGAACCGTGATATTCTGATCCACACAGAGCGGGCATCGGGCCATCTTTCGCGGCTTCTGTTCGTTGTCGACTGCTCCTTTCCCATGATGTTTCACTTGATGATTATACTTGGACAAACAAGTTGTGCACGTCAAAACTGGCACCCCGCAGCACTCACACTTTTTCTTCCCGACGTATCTATTCCATGGTCGATCGCACAAACAACAGTTTGTATCCACACCTTCTGGCAGCTCTTGCTGTTTCTTTTTGCCCGCCACAACTCCGCCATCTCCATTCGGGTTGCTCACAGATACCGCTTCTCGCTTATCAAATACAAAGTTGCTTCCCCGCCAATGGCCACCGTCCGGAAAGGCTTGCAGGTATCGTTCAATGCCACCTTGCAATTGAAAGACCCCATCCAAGGAATCGCCCATGGTCCTTTTCAAATACGCCGACGCCCGTTCACAACGCACTCCACCGGTACAAAACATCATGACGCGTTTGTTCTTCAAGTCATCCGCCGCCTTTTCCACCCAACTGGGGAAATCAGTCGACTTGCGCATGAGTGGATCCACGTATTGGGCGGCACCGTCCAGTTTGGTTTGTCCGTCAAATCGTCCCAAGGCTGCCTCGTAATGATTGCGCACATCCACCACGACGGTTTCTTTGGACGTGTCTTGCAACATTTCGTGAAAATCCTTGGCATCCAAATGGACGCCCGTTTCCCCGATTGGTGCCGCCGCTTCCTGCAGTCCATAAAACACAAGTTCTTTGACGGGCAAAATCTTCAAATCCTTGAAATGGCGATCGGCCTTGGCGGGAAGGTACTTGAAATCGGTTTCGTGAAAGACAGGATCAAACTGCTGTAGATCTTTGGTAAAGTGTTCCAGGATGGTGCGACCATTGGTCCCATCGGGAGCATCCCCACAGGATAACGTGGCATTAATGCCTTCTGGGGCTACCCGCAGACGACCGCCCAAGAGTGGCCGGGCTTCTGCGACTGCATGAAGATATTTTATGAGTTCCGCCACTTTTCGTTCGGGCCAAACCACGGGACTCTTGTACTGATAAAAGAGCAGAATGGTGCAATCGTCGGAATCCGACCGTTGACTCTTGACAACACTGGCGTTGGGGAACCACTTGCCCAGAGTCTTTTTCTTATTACTGTTGTTGGTGGATCGGTGATTGTCGTCATCTGCATCGGGGAGAGGTGTAGGAACATAGGGGATATCGGTTTGAAGTGGGGAAGTTTTCCAGGCATCTACGGAGGTTTCTTCCTTTGTCTGGTTTTTGGAATTGTCTTTCGCGGGTTGTGGATTATTGCTGTCTGCCTTTTCTTTCCTCTGTTTTTCTTTCTTCAAGGCTTTCTTCAATGCCTTCCTCTCTTTCTTGGAGAGTTTCTTCCCTTCACCAGGGGTATCCTCTTTCACAGAAACATCCTTCTTATGGTTCTGGGACAATTTTGGATCTGACTCGGAGACTTCTTCATCTTTATTAGAAGCTGCCTTCAGGGTATCCTTTTTTCCCACTGGGGTATCTGGCCCTTGAGAGTTACCCTCGCCACTTTCATCTGCAGTGCCACTTTCAGCTGCAGTCTTTTCCTTGGTTTTCAGTTTTTTCTTGTTCGGTTTTTGTTCTTTGGCGCCATTCTCCTTGACGGAGCTGATATTTTCCTTGGTGGAGGAATCCTCCTGTAGTTTTCGTTGCTTCTTTCTTGCTTTTTGTTCTCGACGGCTGAGGCGTTTCTTGCGTTTCCCAGAGGCACGTTCTCCCAATGCATCGGGAAGATCACTACTAGGGTCCGTCATGGTCGATATTAATATATATCTATAGCTAGTGGCTTGGTGGTGATATCAAGAGGAATGGGAACCGTTAGCGGTATAGCCGTGGGATGAAGAATAGTATGCCATAGAAAAACAAATACTAAGGAAAAAGGAAGAATGGGTGTCATGGCGAACTTCGATGGTTGCTAGCTACCTGGTAGCTGGAGGCAAAGATCTTTCTGTTGCGCGATTCTCGCATCCATGACTGAGCAATCGTGTACCGCTCTTTCTTTTTGACGATTTGCACAGAACCAATGACAAGTCATCCTCGCTTGCCCTCAACCTCCCCCCCCCCCACCAAAGATCGATTCAGAGCACAACTTCCAGCCCACCTTCCCTGACCAACAGCTCATCTCTCTCTCTCTCTCCTCCTGCCCACGATTGATCATGAATGCTTCCAATATTACCGATAATGGAAGCGATGGTGCCACACACCCCCAAAAATGCAACGAAGGTTTGCCAAAAGCTACATTTGAGGCGTTCATTAACACGTGGGAACAAACAAGGATTCAACACCCCGACCGATCTTTCAAAGAATTCTGTGATTTGGAAGGCAAAACCAAAAAGGAATATAATTCGCTCAGGGCTCGAATGGCAACGATATCCACCTCTTCCCTGGCCAAAAGATCTGGAAAAAGATCTGGAAAACATATGCCAGAGGAGGAATTTGAGGCGTTCTATGCTGGATGGGTACTTTCCCAGCAAGAACACCCAGATCGCAACCTCAAAAAATTCTGCGAGCTACAAGATCGACTCAGCAAATACGAAACTCTAAGGGGCAAGGTCCGCGCCAGGAAAAACAAGGATATCCAAGCTATTTTGAGTAGAGGTGCTACTACTGGTACTACCGGTACTACCAGTGTCAATCGACAGAAATCCCGTACGTCTGGACGTGTATCTGCAAATCAAAAGGAAGCCCAAACAAGTGGCAACAACGAGCATCCACCCTCTCAACAGGAAGCACAAGGAAACAGCAACGTCGATTTACCCCCGAGAAAGCGTGAGCGCCCAAGGAAAAGCCCACCTGTCCCCCCAAAAGAAACACAAACAAATGATAGCAACGTTGAATCACCAATGAAGAAGTGCCGGTGGCCTATGAGATATAGAACACAGGATCAAGATTGTATGATTGAGCTTTTTTCAGACTCGGAAACTGTAGAGGTTGCTTCAATCATCAAGCAGGAGGAGGCTTCTAAAGAGGAAAATAGTCGATTGACCCAATCTGTCAAACAGGAGCCAGTAGACGAGGTTATGTGTTCTTCAAACTCTGAGGCTGAGGAGGGACGCGCAGTTCCTTGGGCAGTACAACAAGTGGGAACCTCTGCAGAAGAGAACAATCTACCAGTCCAAGCGGTGAAGCAGGAGCCAATGACTGAGAATGTGCATTCTTCAAACTCGGAGGCTGAGGAGGGGCAAACTACATCCGATTGTGCGGAAAACAGGCACACAGAAGCATCTGTGGATGATGATGAGAATGCGAGGCTGGGACAAATTCGAGATTGGATTACCCAGTATGTTTTTCGCGGTCATAAACCCTTGCAATCAACTATTCAACTCTATTCCCAGAGGCTTTTAATTGAAGGGTTTGAATCTGTGGAGATGATCATGAAGCTTCTCGAGGAGAGTGATGTCAATTCATACTCTTGGATGAAAGGAGTTCACAAGCGCATCTTTCTCGGTCAACTCAAAAGGGGATGGAAGTAAGAAGGATGTTTGAGCAAGTCAGCATCTATGTCACCTTCATTAGAACATGTGCATAAGCAAGCAAAGCTACACCAAGCATAAAGCATAGATTTTATTACCCGTCATGAGAATACTCTCTTAAGGCCAATGCTACTCCCAAGACAAAAGTCGGTGGCCCTCTTTGGGCTCATTGAGGATCTAACTTTTGAAAATGGACCTTCCGTACTACCTTCCGCAGTACGACTGTACCCCATCCAGGGCCAATTTGGCAACAAATCATGAACACTTCGTCCTTTTACGGTACCATATACCATGCACCAAATGCGCAAAACGTAACGTGAGGGCGCTTGTCGCATCCATGACTGAGCTATCTTGTGCCGCTTGAGTAGTCTAGACGCACTTCAAAATGGCAAGTATTATTTTTCTTTTCAAGTCACAACACGGCGAACCTCCATGCTATCAGCAACCCGACCTGAAAAGCCAGCTATTTTGAATAGAGTACCAGTACACTTGATACAGCAGAGAACCGCCATGCCTGGAGTCAAGAAGAAGGAATCAACAGAGCTAACGCAAAGGAAAGCGCGGTGGATCAGTCTCGAAGAAGCCCAGCGAAAATCCGTGGGAAGGAGAAATGGTGGCAAGATCGTTTGGAACAACGCACCGTCACAGGAAGGAAACACCCACCGGAAATGCCGGTATGGATTTTTGAAAATGGAGACATGTATTTGGGAGAATGGGACAAAACCACCGGAACGGAACATGGCTTTGGAATCACCTACTATCACACACCCCCGAAGCAAAAGGGAATGATCTATAGTGGCGATTGGAAGGAGGGACATTGCCATGGAAGGTGGTATTGGTACTGGGATCCCCTTTTGTTATTCGGGAAACTACGACGGGTTCTATTCTGACGAACAGGCAGTGGTCCGTGTGAAGTTTGGTCCCACTCGGAGGGGTCCGTGGAAGGATGGAGCACCTGTCGGAGATTGGCATGACGACCATACTCACCCTAAGGTGGCTTCGGGTGGAGGAGGGGGCTCTGTTGACACGAGCAATTCTGAAAACCGAACCGAAGAATCGGCAAATAATGTTGCCAAAGTAACAGGTGAAAAACTCAAGTACAGTAAAATGGCAAGCCAAGATTTCGAGGTGTTCTACGCCAAATGGCGGGAGATCCAGAAATCTGGCTCATATGTCTGTGGATGATGATGAGGATACTAGGCTGGAACAAATTCGAGACTGGATTACCCAGCATGTTTTTGGTGGTCGCAACGTCGCAACCCCTGGCAAATACTATGCGAAGCTATTCCAAGGAGCTTTTTGATGAAGGCTTTGAATCTGTGGACATGATCAAGGGGCATCTGGAGTATCTCCAGGAGAGTGATGTCAATTCATACGAATGGATGAAAGGAGTTCACAAGCGAATCTTTCTCGGACACCTCAAAAGGCTGGAGGAGGGGCAAACCATTGCCGATCATGCAAAAGACTGGCACGCAGAAGCATCTGTGGATGATGATGAGGATACTAGGCTGGTGCAAATTCGAGATTGGATTACCCAGCATGTTATTGGTGGTCATAACCCTTGTCCAAAAACGATCCAGGGCTATTCCCAGGAGCTTTTTGATGAAGGCTTTGAATCTGTGGAGATGATCACGGAGTATCTCAAGGAGAGTGATGTCAATTCATACTCTTGGATGAAAGGAGTACACAAGCGAATCTTTCTGGGTCGCCTCAAAAGGGGATGGATTTAAAAAGGATGTTTGTTCAATTAGCATCTAAGTTGCATTGTTTAGTACTGTTGTGCAATAAGTAGATGCAATAATTTCGAAGCTGTAGTTTTACGTACAAGAACCTAATCTCTATGCCACACCTGACTAGCGCTGATCATGTAGAATTGGTGTCCACAAACCTGGATCATCCAAACCTTCTGTTTCCTCTACATGTTTTGCTGTGGCAGATTTGGCCAGCTGCGACGAAGTCTTCGACTGGGTCGCCGCAGATTCATCTCTGCCAGCCCAGTCAATATCATAGAGATGGAACCTTCCAAGATTCCGCATCTAGCCATGGCGGTTTCGTCCTCAAAAAGGTTGGCTATCATTGGTCACATTGCATTTCGTTTGTTCCGTCTCGCGTCGGCGTTGTATCTTCTGTTTGAAACGAACACTTTCGTACCTAATCGAGCGTTCTTTCTAGCCCCGTACACGTTTGTCTGCCTTGATCTGGACGCAACTTCGATGGTTGCTATAGCTGATCCCGCTATTCTAACCAGCAGCTACCGGTACCAGTATTTGACACCGCCGAAAAGCCAAGACAAGGATCTTTGATTCGGACATGGACTCTCACAGGAGAAAGAGCTCCACCCGAATCCCCTCTTTGAAAGCTTTCAGTCATTGCCAGGTTGCTGCTGCTGCTACTCCAGTAGTGCCTCATTGCACAGGGAAGGGTTGCGACTGAGAAAGAAAAAGATGCATGCTACACTGTCATTGACGGCGGCAACGGCATTCACCCATGCCTGCTTGTGGTCGCTATTTTCAGCGTCATGTCTCCCAGCTCGATTGAGACGCAGGTAGAATTCCATCAATCCTTGTGGTTGTGGGGCAAATTGTTGGACCATGCAAAACTCTTGCAAATGATAATTGTGAGTTTGTATCATTGTCAAATAGGCTTGTTGTGCCACAAGAGTCAATTCGAGCTCTTTTTCATCATCATGGTTCCTCTTTTTCTTTTTCCAGGGATACAGTTCCCGTACTAGAAACGTCCAAAGAGATGACGAGGCGAGTGCGTCTGCCAATTCGACATGACACTCTACCAGAGAGGAGTCGTGCAGCAGATTGTTCAAGTCGGTTCCCAGCAGTTGCAATTCTTTCAGATTGTCGGAGGATTGTATAAGAAATTGCGCCAATAGACGGAGACTGGTTCGATCCCACTGGCAGGAGGACAAGAATAGGGATTTGAACTGTGCATGCTGTCGCAAGAGTGTCCCCAAGAGCGCCGTGAGAATGTCGGGTACAAAATCAAACTGAAGAAGTCTCAATTCTTGGAGTGCCATGGGTTGTTGCATTTGTTGATGAGAAGCAAAGACTTGTCGCAGTGTCTGCTTGGATACGGCTCCGCCTAAAGCATGGACACGAGTCGCCGAGACAATGACCTTTTCCAAGGTTGGACTGGTCAAGATGGCATGGAACAAAGGATCCAGCGTTGTGCTGCCTGCTCGGTAGTTTTGGTAGTTTTGTTCCAAGCGACAGTGTGCCAAGGTCAGCTTCTTGAGACTCGGTAGAGACGAGATGCATTGGGCCAACTCTGTAATTTCTTCCTGATGTTTGCCGCTGCTGAACTCCACGTCTTGAATGTGCAACGTGTGGAGCACTGACTGCTGGTGCTGCTCATTAGATGATTCATTGTCATCATGCTGTACATCATCGTGTAATAGTAGACAACCTTTTGTCAATATTTGCCATGGGAATCTCCAGTGACAACACGAGGTTCCTCCTCGAAATTCCAACTTTTGCAATCGAGGAAGCTTTCCAATGGCTCGAAAGAACTGCAAGACAGTTGGATTGGTAGCAAGAGCTCGTAGAGACACGGCGATAGTGACGTGAACAAGGGTCCGATTCTGGTCCAATGCTTCCGTCCATCTCGGATAGTCAAACGTCATGTTCTGTAATTGGATTTGAACAGCATTCTTGCGATTCAGAATGAGAGTCAACTCATCGTCATTGTTGGCGTCGTTGTTGATGGTGTCGGACAACATGGGTGTCATGGTGGACTATTTCTATGGATTTGCGCTTGCGAGGCCTTCGAAACAGAAAGATATGGGCATGATTGACTTTTCAGCTCTACAGGCTCAAAACAGAAGCAAAGATATTTTTTGGCTGCAAAGTACCGCTACTGTGAAGCCTCCAAAGCGACTCTCACCTTGGTCTTTCTCCCTCGACCTTTCATCGTCAAACGACATTTCCTCACAGCTTTCTAATTGTCAAAGTCTTTTGGTGGTGATCCAAGAAACCAAAGCAAAGGGGAGATTGCGAGAATGTGCAAAAAGATTGTAAAATTTCATGGTGATGGCCACTTGTCGCATCGACCTCCGGTATCTGGTACGAGTAGAAAGAAGTAGTATAGCTAGGAGCAATTTAACGTCCTCCCTATACATGATCGAGAATCGAATCGCTTCCTCCTCTGCTGCTTTCACCGCATTGTCTTGCCTTCAAGCTTTGCTTATCCAGCGATGTTTTCCGGATCGTTCGTTCGAATGGCGACAGCATTACCAATCGCTGGAACTACCTGCTGACCGACTCCCAATTCGTTTAATTCGAAGTTCCTCTCCTGTCACGGCATTGTGCTGATGCCAAGCAACGGATCGATGCTTCGTCATGATACGCAATGGGATTGGGTCTTGCTGAAATGCCAGCGGCGGTCCATGGTTGGGACGAGGACGATTCGATCCGGGGGGTTCCGGTGGCAGCTGGCAGTACAGGGCATGTGAGTTGCGGGTCCAATCGTCTTCTCGCGCCAATGCTTCCCTACTCTTATCAGGTGTCGGAATGCCGTGTTTCGTCATGAGTTCTCGTTCTAGGACCTCGAGATCCGTGGTATCCAAACACCCGGCAAAGACAGCGATTTCTGCAATGGCTCCCTCACCTTCTCCTCCTGATCCTTGGCCAAAACACAGGGTCATGTCAAAGCAATGATCCGATCCAATCGTAAGACCATCCAGCATGGCTCGAGGCCCCGTCCGACGTTGCGCCTTGGCACCATTCTTGTTGTTGTTGTTGCTTTCCACCACTCGGTGTTTGGGCTTGGACGCCGTCAAGACTTCTTGCACACCATCCACACGTAAAATGCTGTGCTTTCCATCAAACACGGAAGAGTAACAATGCCACATTCCCGGTACTCTAGATCCTCTTAGGATTCGATCCGCATCGTGATCGTCATCATCTTCCTCGTCGTCGTCATTTTCGTCATCGCTGCTTTCTTCATCTTCGATCCGCATCGTTTGCGAATCGGATCGTTCGCTGTTGGGATCTTCTGGTTGTTGTTGTTGTGTGAGTTGTTGCTGCTGTTGTTGCTGTGAATCGTGATCCCCTGCCAAATTGCAAATATCGGCCGTATCATGAAATATACAAGTGCATTGATTCAACCAGGAATTCTTTTTGGAAACACTGCTACTACCACCGGCACCGTCCCCAAAATTGGAACTACTATCATCTTCCGAATTGTAATCTTCTTCCTCTTCCACATCCTCATCGGATTCGGGTTCGGAATCATCCTCATTGTCCGGAAATAACTGTCGTTCCAATGGCGTTCGATGATGATGATGCTGCGATGCCGTCAGTTGTTGTTGTTGTTGTTGCGACGAACGTGGTGGACATTCCCACGAATCGGTCGCCATACAAATGGGTGACAATTCGGCCAATTCGGCAACGGGCGTATTGGGATACAAATGTCCCACTTCAAATCGATGATTGAGTCCGGAACAGAAACATCCATCTTCCGTGGCAATACCCACAATAATGATGGTAATGGGTTCTCCAATGGGTCCACATTGAAATTGGGGTGTCGCAATCCGCACGGCATGTTTTTCATCGGCATTGAGGAATTGCAGTACGGCATTGGATGTGGGTGGTTTTCGCACCAGTACCTGCGGCAATACAGTGACTTGTAACTGTCGTCTCCATTCTTTCCATTGTTTGAGTTTGCGTTGTCGTTCTTGCCATTTGATGGTTTGTACCATGTCGTCGTGATTGTTGTTGTTGTTACTGTTGTTATTGTTGGATGATGTTCGCGACCATTCGACTTGTTGTTGTTGTGGTGGTAACGACGTAGTAGGATATTCCCAACAGAGACAATATCCTTCGGGTCTCGCAATGGTGGCTCCCCGAACGGCAATGGTGGTTTGTGTCATGTCCTGATTGGGTCCATCTTCGTGGGGCAGGTTGAGAGTCGTATTTTGATCGATACTCTTCATGCGCCGTGTCGATTGTCGTCGTCGTCTCATTTGATCTTGTAGTAACGATTGTTTGAGTACGTAATTGACAAATCCTTCGGCGTATCCAAAGGGATGTAGTACTTGCATGGCATGTCGATATCCCTGCCATTCGTGCGAGACCATGATTCCCTGATCTTCAAACGACAGCTTGACGTGTTGTCCTCTCGGGTTATTGCCGTGGCCACGTCCCCATGCCTTGATTTGTGCTTGAGCTGGAATTTGTTCGAGTGGTGGGGCTCGTCGTGCCAGAAACATTTTGGGGGATTTGGATCGCGTGTGATGATTCTTTTTATGGTTGTTGCTGTTGTTGCTGTTGCCATTATTGGGAGGTGCCTGTTGTTGTTGTTGTTGTTGTTGTTGTTGTTGTTGTTGTCGACAATTTCGATGCAGTATTTGTGGTCTGCTGGAATTATTGTTGTTACTAGTATGATTGGGCATACCGTAGTCTTCACTACTGTCGTCTTGATCGACATCCGACGATTGTTGTTCCGCATCCAAGTCCAACAATTGAATTCCTTCAGGAGCAAACCACGCCGCACAAAAGGTTTCGTCCATGACATTCTGTTGAGACTGTGAATGGGTGGTTTCTTCTTCTTCTTCTGGTGTTGTCGTATCGTTATTGTTATTGTCTCGTGCACTATTTTCGTCTTCGAGGGACACGGTATTCAGTCGAATCAACTGCGATGCCATCGAAGGCAGTAGTAACAATGGAACCGACGGAGTGGCCTTGTACGTGGCCTGTTCCAAAATCACCGTCGTGACGATATCGCGCCACGATCGATTCACATTGGACAACCGGGCCAGTTCCACATTCGACGTTGTTGCGTGTAAAATCACCCATCGCAGAGCCACGTCCGGAAGCACCACGGTAGTAAAAGTAGTAGCAATCGTAGTTGTTGCTGTTTTGTCGTTGTCGTCGTTCATGGCGACTGACTGCTGTACCACAGCACTGCTGTCGTCTTCTGCCATTCTGTATTTATTTATTTTATTTTGTTTTGAACGGAAGGATTGCTTCTCTCTCTCGTCGATTAGATCGATCAATGGGACGGAGTAGCACTACCGGTACTACCGGAACTAGCTAGCTAGTCTAACAGTAGAGGATTGTTGTCTTTCGGAATGCACACAAGCTACCGGTACTAGCTAGTAGTCAGCAATGTGTTTCACACAGACCTGGATTGTCTGCTTACTGGTACCGTAGCTGCTAGCCAGATAGATTACCAATGGATGCAACTACACACAAGCACGCAAGAAGCGTTTGAGACGAGAGGTGAGTAGCAGGAGCACAGGATTGATTCGATTCGATTCGAACCACTCTCACGGTCAAGTCGATGTGACGCTTGCATGTGCAGCCGAAGCATCATCTTTATCTTCCCGTTTCGAGAAAAGCAGAGAGGAAGGAGGATTTAAAAAAGGCATTTCAGGGTCATAGTGACGTTGTCGAACGTTAGCCCAGTTCTGAAACAAGCCAGCCGTACTGTTAAAATAGCTATTTGAACTGCTGGTGGGATGTACCGGTATACTGGGAACGGAATGAGAGTACCGTAGGTAGTTGCATAGTGGTAGTACCCGTACAGGTTTAGAAAGGCAAAAGTAGTTCAGCACGTACTGGCTAGTACTAGTAGTCTACGTCTTTTCAAGCTTTTTTCATTGGCGCCCACCGAAAGTACCATTTACGTCATTGTCATTGCTGGAATCTACACTGCAATACATGATTTCAGATATGATAGCTAGGTTGATTGTTGCCCTTTATTCTAGCTAGCTAAGACAATGTGCTGCCAAAAAAGTGTCACTAGCCAGTTTTATCCTAGTATCTAAGGGTTGGAGCAAAGCAAGCAAGAAGCAACAACACGTGAGTAACAATGTTCGTGTTGGCTGGTACAAGCAGAGTACTTACCAGCCCGCTCCGGCCGACCATCAGAGGCCATCGTCATCACTGCCAAGATCCATTTCGCCTCCAGGACCGTGGTACCGTAGGGTGGATCTCGGTAGCCGCATGGAAACAACCGCTCCCCACTGTTGATTGCTAGCTGGCTGACAATGATAATGGCACGGAAGGCATCCCCATGGCGGGTGATCTCGTGCCTCCACATTCCATCCATGGCCTTCCAATTCTTCACTCGCTCGTTGATTGTTTCCTGCCTGTTGCGAACTCTCTGCTGCATGAAGAGAGTTTCCTCTGGGTTGGCGAATCCAGCTGGGCACTTGATATACATTGGGTGATCACCGACATAGCCATCGTCTGCCTCCACACGTTCATTGTCAGCCAGCATACCCAAAAGAGCAGACTGAAAGATGCTAATGTCGCTCGGGCCATTTTCCACACTCGAAAGGACCATTCATCTGCACTACGCTAAAAGCTAGTGTAAAGATCTTTCGAGTGTTTTGAGTTTGAGAGAATGAAAGTTATG